CCAGGATCGCATCGTGGCAAATACGTGTCGGACGCCCTAACCACTCTTCCACCGAGATCGCCAAATCTCACATTTTGAATTTTCATAATTAAACATTTAATTTTTGAAACATTTTGTCGTTTGCTTGTCTCTATTTTATTTTTTCTCGTTTAGTGGTGTTACTGATAATGATATATTTTGATATTTCAGTTTGGACTGAAACAATAAAATCAGAAATTGTGTATTTTTATATTATAATTGCAAAAAACAACAACAAAAATTGCTACATTACATAAGAGTGAGATAGAGGGAGAGGGAGAGAGAGAGAGAGAGAGAGAGAGAGAGAGAGAGAGAGAAAGAGAGAGAGAGAGAGAGAATGAGAGAGAGCTGCTTGATAATAAAGAACATTGTTGACTATTTAAATAATGGAATGGTTTCAAACGGGTTTTTATAACAAAAATTGAACCGATATTGCAATCATCAAAGTCATTATAAACTCAGAGCATAAATCAAAGAGAAAAAGAGAGGCAAGAAAAAATTGAAAGTAGGATAAAAACTTTTAGTAGAGATAAAAGGATAGAGAGGGAACATAAAACATAAACAAAGATAGAAACAGACAAAAAGAGTAAGGTAAAGATGAAGAGGCATAGAGAGAGTGAGAGAGAGAGAAAGAGAGAGAGAGAGAGAGGGGGAGAGAGAGAGAGAGAGAGAGAGAGAGAGAGAATGAGAGAGAGCCGCTTGATAATAAAGAACATTGTTGATTATTTAAATAATGGAATGGTTTTAAACGGGTTTTTATAACAAAAATTGAACGGATATTGCAATCATCAAAACCATTATAAACTCAGAGCATTAAAGGTCATTAAAATCTTCGTAATGTTCAGAAATCGTCATTAGGATAATAGGTGATAAATAAATTGTGCGAACCGATTGAAGTCCGATTTGTTTTACAATATATTTACAGGGATTAGCATAAACTCTAGATCAGCTCGTCCGAATCAGACGGAAGAAGGATCCAAGAACATGCAAAACCGGTTGTTGAATACCTACCCGACAAAATCTGAAATCGAAAAAAGTGAATTAAAAAAAAATCGGACTCTTTCTCACAATTTCATCACTGGAGTATTTTTTATATATTTAATAAGGATACTAACAATTATAACAGTCGCATTCTCATGCAAGATCTTAATTACTAATCAAATTTATTTATTTGTTGTTTTTTATTTTTTTATTTTTTATTTTTTAAAAACTTAAATGCACATAGATAAATTAATAGGAGTTTATTATATATAAATTATTGATAATTAAATGAGCAGGATGAGTAATTCAACTTTACATTATCGTAAATCGTGTTATTTTTTTTAGTTATGTTTTAAAGATACAAATAAAATTTGTAATTGCAATTATTATTGCCAATTGTGTGCCAATTATGAACCGAAAGAATAAGGATAGTCCTGAAACTGACTACTTACTACTTACTAAGGCTGTTGAAATGTTAGTGTACGATTTGAGCTCTCATATTGAAACCTACTTTTCTCCGTTTCTCTGCCGTTCGTCATTTATTTAATTGTCACTGTGTTGGAGTTTTCAGGCGTTAAATTAAAAATTAAAGTCTCTGATATCAAACCATCGATTTCCCTTTGAAAGAAAACAATCAACAATCAGATCAAGGCGGCAGAATTGCTGATACAATAAAAAAGCTTAAGAACAGAAACATGGTGTTCCCCACCTTTCTGGATATACATCAACCCTTTTGCAAAGGGTGTATGTTATAGCTTAAAACAAACTTAAACGAAGCCTCTTACCTTTACTTTTTAGAGATTTATTTCGAAATAATCAGAACTTTTATAAATAAAGGCTGCTCTTCCGCAGGGAAAAATCTTTAGACCCACCCTGCTTTTTGCTTTATGCCAGTTTCCCGTTACCAAAAGAAAAAAACTACTATAGCAACATGGCCGGATGTCAGTGGAGCTCAAAGAGAAGAAAATAATATTGAAACATCGGCAAGAAAAGTGAAAATATGAGCAACCGGATTGACAGATGCACAAAAGATTGGAGAACTAATACATATGAGTATTAATATGTTTATATTAACTTTTCCAAAAATAAAAATATATATCAGTCATAAAAGGGATATCATGTCTGGTTCTTAGCTTTGAAATTTTCGTAAGATAATTTACTTTTTTTGGCACAGCCCTATAGTGTGGCGTAAGTAATGATCGCTTTCAGATCTGGTTGTAAATGAAGATGTATCTCTGGATTGACAAATGGGAGTTTCTTCCAAAATCTAATACTTGGCTATACTTAAGGCCAAGTTCTTTCTCTTTTTCCTCTAATATGAGCTCGATTCTTCTTAGAATATTAAGTACTTACTATTTTCCTATTCGTACTGATTGTACTGCCTGTGATTTTTTTTCTTTTTTGGCAATCCGGTTTCAGCTTGTCGATCCTTCGCGCTGGCCGTATCGTTCCTCAAATAATGTTGACAGAGACCCTCATACTCACGCAACTGCCTGACTGGACTATTGAAAAACGTATTGGAATAAGAATAATATCAAATCAAATCATCGAAGGAAAAATATTAACTGAAGGCTATCTTTAGGCGTAGCAGAATGTAGCAGATTGCTACGTTTTGTGCAAATGGGTTTAATCAGCATAAAAGAAAACCAATGAAGTAAACATATTTAATTTTAAAATAAATAAATTGCATGGTGCGTTAAATTTGGTAATCACTGTATTCATATCGTTTCAATGTTAACCAGTATCAAAAGAACGGCATTCGTCAACACTAAGCCGTAAGCGTTGGGTTTTTCCACTCTTCCTGGATGAAAAAAAATCCCAAATGAATGCATTAAATAAACCTGTTTCTAAGGCGTTGTATTTTGTTATAATTATGGTTTGTTCTGTTATTTATCATTAGCAAGTTTTTTCAGTGCTTAATTACAGCGATTCGAACAATAAAATACTATAAAATATTCCATAGCGTATTTATATAAAGAAAATGAGAGTATAGCTTTAAAAAAATATCTGTTTAAGGGCTACAATCAGAAAATTTTTGTTTTGGGGGTAAGGGGATTGTTGAGAGGAAATCCACTGTAAATGTAGTCTTTAAATAAATTGATTTATAAAACGAAAAATTACAAATAAAAGTGTTAGTTTATAGCTTCAATGATGGGGGTAAAAATTGAATAATTAAAAGATTATTCGGAGATCGTGAGATGCGGTCGGGTGTGACGTAGGTTTTAGAAAAACATATTTTTTATCGTGCCAACGTTTCGATCTTTATTGAGATCATCTTCAGGGCTCAAAGTGTTTTTTTTTCTGTGCAGATGTGCCATTCTTGTGGGTCGTGTTAAGAGTGCCCAACTCACCCACTACGCAGAAAACAAACACTATGAGCCCTGAAGATGATCTCAATAAAAATCGTAACGTTGGCACGATAAAAAAAATGTTTTTCTAAAACCTACGTCACACCAAACCGCATCTCACGATCTCCGAATAATCACTAATTAACGGTCACTAAACTCCACATATTTTTACATAATCCATCACATTTATTTTGTTATAATTATTTGAGCTGCGAAAAGTTTACATGCTACTAATTACTCAATAATTATGGTATTTTTTGTGAACGCTTTTAAAAGAATGCCATTTTTATTTTCATTCTTTATTGAGTTCAGTAAAAAGAAATTTATGAGCTAAATTAATTAAGGATAAAGACTCGTTAACGTTATCCTATAGATAGATAGTCAGTCCTATTGATAGTATAAGTTTATAGAAAATCTATTTTGACCCAGGAAAAAAACTAAGGTAGTTTAATCATGTTTATCCTATATTTTTAGAGGAAAAGAATCTGCTTTTAGCGAAGACAAACTCGTATACAACTAACTTTTTACTAATTGGAAAACTCATGTAGAACTTTCAACATTCGTAGTTCAAGTAATGTAAAAAAAACTCATGTAAAAGCTACGTTTTAGTCCTGGAAAACCCATTTAAAACCTACTTTTCTGAATTGAGGTAAAGTTAGAAAAACAAACTCATAAGAAAACACTCGCTCAATCACAACTTGATTTCTAGGCCTAATCAAACTTGTGTAACCCCTACTTTGATAAACTGCGGAAATCTTTAACTAAATTGATTATTCAGAAATCGTGAGATGCGGTCTGGTGTGATGTAGGTTTCAGAAAAACATTTTCTTTATCGTGCCAACGTTTCGATCTTTATTGAGATTAAGGATAAAGGATTATGAACACAAACACATATGTAACACATGTATAATAATGAATTTAGGCTATGGATACTAATGTTAGCAGGAATCCTTAATTGGTAATTTATGTTTTTGAATTTATCAATGTAATTGCCCCCTCTATTGAAATATTCACGAAGAATCTTGTAAACAAAAAAGTCATGAAATGGCAAGAATTTATGGTGAAAATATAAAGGTAACAAGGTTCCTCTTTAAGACATGGCTTTCCAATTTTTTTAAAAGAAATTTTATACAGCATGGATATATATTTGTATTTTCGTTTGCGCCTCCTCAGCATAGAATGCCATAGTGAATATGCGATATACTGAAGCGCAATGTATTTTAATTAAAAGTGCTTTATTCCATTTGATTCGAAGAAAGCAGATTTCTCATATACCACGTTTTTTTACTACATCACCATGGACAGATCATTAGTTAAACAAATTTAAATTGAAAAAACAAAATGATTTCATTGTTTGTTCAATTATGCCTTTTGGCACCAATATTTGAAAAAATAGATCAATTATTTTTAAATTATATCTCTTAACATGTTCAACATTCATGTTTCGAGGTGTCGAGCTGAACACAAGATTCGCAGATATGAGGCTACAATTGGCCTATATTTTCATCAATTATGTTATAATTCAGTTTAGGTTAATGTACTACTGTTTCTTATTAATTTTTTTCGGTTAACAAATTTAATACGTCGCTTTGAAATCCTTATGAATTATTGCCCTTTAAATTTAATTATTTAAAGTATGAATTTTGTTTTCAGCAAGCTACATTCACGTTTGTAAGCGGAACGACCCCAACCTCAACCAATGTATTGTAAATTCCGTACAAGCTCTTCTACCAAAACTCAAAAAAGGTAGAATGATCTATATATCTTGGTGATGCACGCTTTGTTATCAATGTGTTTTTACTTTTCCAGGTATTCCAGAGCTTGATGTTCCTGCACTCGAACCTCTCCACCTCCCAGAGATCGTCATTTCCCGAGGAGGAAATTTCAAAGCCATTGGCAAGAACATTATCGTTCGAGGAGCTTCAAACTTTGAAATAAAAAATTTCAAGTATATATATTTTTTTTAAACAAATATTTACCAGTATATGAATTTCTAAAAACGTTAATTTTAATGACAATTTTTATATATTTATTTATAGATCTGATGTGAATAAAGTGGAATATCAGGTCGTGCTCAGGTTCCCAGAATTATTTTTCGACGGAATTTACGACGTGGACGCCAAACTTCTAACTCTGCCCATCAAAGGACGAGGACCGATGAAAGGAAGCGGAAGTAAATATCAAATAGAAAAAAAAACCTATAAATTTATTTACTTACGAGCTTTTAATCTTCTTTTAAGCTGATATCGAAGGAAATGCAATCATCAAAGGAAGGAAAGTCAGCAAAGGAGGAAAGACATACCTCAAATTTGACAGGCTCGACTTGAAATTGAAAATGAAAAACTACTCAGTCAGGTTGGAAAACCTTTTCGACGGAGACAAAACACTTGGTGAGTCTTCCTATTAATTTTTTTCTCCTAATCCAACTTATAGTTTAAAATTAATTTTTACTGTGCAATTTTACTCTGGTTTGTTTTTTCATGAAGTCCGATCAGATAATGCGATTAATATGAAATTCGTGACAAAAACATAAATTTTCAACTGTGTAAATTACAAAAAGACATTCAGATTTATTTAGTTAATAAGTTTTATACAAATTATTTATTTCGTAAAACAATATAATTTGTCACTTCGTCGTCAAAAAAATAACTGTTTGCCTGTTTAATTTTATTTACGTTTTAGTCATTCTGAGTTGGAAATAGTATATAATGTTTGTATATATATATACCACATTCTGCTTTAACTTTTTATATATTCTTTTATCACATTCTTTTTCTCGGTTTCCTCTTCCTTTTCCCTATTTCATTTATAAATTATTTCTCTTTTTTCTCTTCCTTAATCTCTAACATTTTGCATCCGATAATAATAGCCTTTCTGTCCAGTCTCTCTGGGTTTTTATTTTTTGTTTCTTATTATTTATCACCCTCCTCTCACTTCTCCCTCTCACTCTCTCTCTCCCTCTTTTTCTCTTTCTGTTTGTTTTTCTCTTCTTTTTCCTATCTATCTCACAATGACTATTACTTCCTCAACTGTCTATTTCTGTTACTCTCCCTCACTCTCTCTCCCTCCCACTCTCTCTCGCTCTCACTTTTGTCCTATTTCATAATCACACTTGTTCCCTCAACAATTTATTTCTGTTACTCTCTCTCTTTCTCTCTCTCTCTCTCTCTCTCTCTCTCTCTCTCTCTCTCTCTCTCTCTTTATGTATCTATCTATCTAACTATCCCTATCTTTCTCTGTCTCTTTTTTCTCTCTGTCCTCTTCTTTCTTTTTTTTCTACCTATCTCACAATGACACATACTTCCTCAACTGTCTATTTCGGTTACTCTCCCTCTCTTTCTCTCTCTCTCTCCCACTCACTCTCTCTCTCTTTCTCTCTCTCTCTTTCTCTCTCTCTCTCTCTCTCTCTCTCTCTCTATCTATCTATCTATCTATCTATCTATCTATCTATCTCCCCCTCTTCCTTTCATTAGCTTTCTTTACATATACATGCAAATATGTATTTTATTTCATTCTTTAACAATGTGACTGTTCTAAAGGCGAAGCTATCAACAACGTTCTCAACGACAACAAAAAAGAACTTATGAGAATGATCAGACCCAAGGCTGAGCAAGTGGCATCATCTGTACTCCTGGAAGTGGCAAACAAGATCACAGAACATTTCGAATACGATGAACTCTTTCCCGCAAAGTGATTGAAAAGAAAAACCCGATTTTCACCACCTCTTAAAAAAACCGAATTGTATTATAAAAGATTTAAAATCTGTATATAGATTATTAGTTGGCTGTTTTGACATTTGGAGTAAATATTTTTTTTCAAATCATGAATGTTTTTCTTTTTTCCACGATTAATTAATTACAAGAAACGGCGTATATATGTAAGTGTTTACCGTCACAGTTTGTTTTGGATATTTAAGTATTTTATTTATTATTTGTTATTACAAAATATTTAGTTACCTTACCTGGCGACCCATTTTCAACAAACAAAATTTGACAAGGTTGGATAATTGGCCGGTATATTACACAAGTTTAGAACACCAATTTTTCGTTAACTATCTGGAAGGTAAATATTACTCAGTACAAATGAAAACGTTAGGGTCACGAGCGGGAATCAAACCCCGTCGTGCGTATTCAGTTTACTTTTACGTGAACAGTTAAAATAATAACGTTCAACTTCGAGGTAAAAGGTAATGAATATTCGCAAATTGATTAAGTACAATCCTTCCATCTATTCATTGCATAAAATATATACATAACAATAAATAAAAGTCGTATCGGAGTGGATCGAAGTCACGAAAGCTCAAGTGTAGAGCAGTGGCGTATTGAGCCGAAGGTCGTGGGTTCGAATCCTGCTCGTGACACTAACTTTTTCATTTCAACCAACACCTTACATAAAAAGTTTAATTAATTGAAAGAAGTAATTTGCTCAGTAGACCACTAAATATAAGGGATTTCGTAGTATAAGTACGTTTGTGGTATGTGTAAATTTCAGAGCAAAAACTATGACTTGATGTCTTGACAACATAAAACTAATTTTTCCCTATTATTGTATTACTATTAATTATCTAATATACCAACTTCTCTGCCTTAAACTACTAGCCTCAAATACTAAAAATATTAATAAAAAAGAACAATTTTCTTGAACAGGGTATTATTTAGTGTCGTGCATTAGTGGTAGGGTACTAAAGTAATGGCCACTCCAGAAGTAGGGCATATAAAGCTGAATACACGCAAAGAAATAGCGAAATTAATTAAAATTTGACCAGCTAATAAAACTCAGTATTAAGTATTAAAATATTACGAAAAAAAGGATTATGTGAACTAACATAACCATTTAACCCTGCTTTCGGAATACATTATATTGCAATTATCTGAACATTTCGGATACTATAATAAATCGGCAAATGAGTTCAAATTATACAGATCAATATCACAGCTATAGATTCTATTAAAACGACAAAAATCCATAGCACAAAATAATATCTCAGGCCATTAATTTGGATTCCGAGCAAAATATTCATACAATAGCTGAATAAAGATTTTTACAGACGGGTCCAAGACCGGCGATGATGTGGCGTGTGCTCTGTATAGTGAGGGAGTGACCATCTTTTGGTCGTTGCCCCCTCATTGCAGCGTATACACAGCAGAGCTGTATGCGATTTGGCACGCTCTCGAGGCGGTGCGGACTCGGAAGTGCTCAGCTTTCCTCATATGTACCGATTCTCTGAGCGCTGTCTGGGCTGTACGCGACAGGTTCTCTGTGGACCCTCTCGTCGTGCTCTTGTTAGAGAAAAATCGCGGAGCTGGAGTCTCTCGGAAAAACGGTGCTAGTTGTCTGGATTCCCGGACACGTCGGCCTGGAGGGTAACGAACGCGCGGACGAGGCGGTGAAAGCCGGTGCGTCCCACCATCCGGATCGGATCATCGCGATCAGGCCCCCTGGCGCTAAACACGCAGTAAAAAATATGATAAAAGAAAGATGGCAGCGTCAATGGGCGGGGTCGTCGGAGAGGCTCTTCCGTGTCAAGAGCACGACCGGTAGATGGCCCTCAGATAACCTGAGCAGGAAACGAGGGATCGTCCTCACCCGGCTGAGGATTGGCCATGCGCGGTTGACACATGGGCACCTGCTTTTGGGCCAAAGCCCGCGCAAGTGCCCCTTATGCAGAGAATGGTTGCTCGATGTGTCCCACATAATTGCGGCGTGTCATGCCTTTGCGCCATACAGAGAGCGTGTAGGCCTGCCGCCTGACTTAAGAAAAGTTCTCGAGCACTGCAGCGAGTTTCAGGGTCCCCTGTTCCTCTTTTTAGGGGAAATTGGGTTTTTTTTATTTATATAGTATGTCTTATGTGTTGTGTGTCTATATGTTTTGTCTGAGTGCATGTATTTATTAGCGTGAATGGCGAGGGGTGAGGGTGAAATATAACATCATCATCGCCCCCCGAACGTTGAGAGCGTATGAGTGTGTGTTGGGGGTCGATGGCGGAATATTTATAAAAGTACTCCATCGACCTCAATCTAGATTAGTTTGAGTATAGGTCGGTGAAGGAATATCAAGTACTCCACCGACCAAACGGAAAGAGTGTATTCTATGAATGTGTTTATTTGTATGAATGTAGTGTTTGAAAGTGTAAATAGAATATTGACTTAGTTTGGTGCTGAAATGACCTAGATGTCGGAAGCCCCAGTAAATAAAAAATAAAAAAATAAATAAATAGCTGAATAAACGGTAAAATATCAAAATCACTCAAAGAAAAGCTAATTTGTTCATCTATCTTCTTTGATGTTTCAAAGAGTTTTGACAAGTTTTGACATGAAGGATTCGTCAATAAACCTGTGATAGAGAAATTATCTAAGAACAACTAAGAAAACTAAAAGTGGAGTACCTCAAGGGAGCATACTACGGCCCAAACTTGCTATAGCAAACGGCAATAACTAGCAGCAACAATTTTACAAAATTCCTTCAAAAAATAAATAAATACACAGAATAATGAAAATCAGGCTTAATCAGCATAAATCTTTATAAATTTTGCAAATAAAAAAATGCATCCTCTCTTACCATCAAAGCCATACAGCCATACAGCGATTCATTTAAATATTTGTGACACAAGCAAAGATGGGAGAAAGCACAAATTAAGAAAAATAAAGTAAATTGTTGCGGTACAGACAGCTATACTGGTTACAATGATACAGCCATACAATACACTAAAAAATTATTATTATCAAGACTTAAACGTGTGGACTTATGGTATTCAACTAAGAGGTTATACTAAACTAAGTAGCACAAGAAGATTTTTAAAAAATTCCAAGATAAAATCGTACGAAATGTCAACGCGCCTGTGTAAAGGATAAGGACTTAATAGGGAACTTGGGGCGAAGACCCCTGAGGTCATGGCAGAAATCCAAAGATCGTTCGAGATGAAAGTCGTTTAAGTTGAGATTTCTGTTCATGTGATGTCATTCCTTTCAAAGTTAACCATGACTTGAAATGTGTGAATAACTCAGTTGGCTGTTTCCAGTTACACTGTGTGTGTTGTTTTTTGTTTATAATTTTTTTTCTTGAAGTGTAGTGCTAAATTATTATAATTTTATCGTATGAATTATTGGAATCACCGATTTAATACATAAAACTACAGATTACAGCTAATATTTTTTTGATTATATGGCCAAAGGTTTGAAAATTGCTGGATTCAAGATTGCTTTCCAGTATACTCTCGGTCGTCCTAAAAATGACAATGAGGATCTTTAACGTCCGCACCTAGCCTATTCGGCCTTATCGGACGTTTTGATTCTCAAGATGAGAGCTGAAGCACAGAAGGGTGTTACTGCCGCAGCGTTGGTGTAGAGGCAGCTCAGCCCCGAGAGGCCAAGGCAACCATCCCCCGAAGTCACGGTCGGATGGCCGCCCCAGGCTTCACGAGGTTCACCTTTTCAAGATTCACACGCTACAACCAGACACGACTGCCCCATCAGCATTTGCTATACCACCTTTATCGAAACGAGCAGCTTGCAGTCCTCTTTTTGCTCAGCCTCTCAAAAGACCCTAACAGTGGCGCCACAAGTAGGCAAGAGTCCGGGGGAACGGGATAGGTTATTGGTTGCACTTCACCGTTCCCCATCCACCTGCTTCACGCATTCGGGGGACTCCGTAGGCCTGGTCTGAGCGTCCTCGACGCTATACGCTTTAGTGGTCCGATCCTTCGTTTCCCGCGAGGCGTAGTGGGTGGCCACCTGGATTCAATATTGCAAAAATTAAAAAAAAATATTTCCTCGGATTACCAGTCTATGGCACAAAAGTAGCTTATATTTTCGATTTCTTAACCACGCAGCCCAATGCTAACCTAAAGATATGAAATAAAATGTTTGAGTTCTATCGTACAAAAATAATAATAATAACAAAAACATGAAAAATTGCGCAGAACTTAGCTGATTACGAAAACCAATTTGAGAAAAACCAGGTATAATAAAAATTAATCAATGGTTTGCAAAAGTTGATCAATCTTATTGAAAGGTCTGAACATTTAAGTCGCTTTCAACTTTCGTTGATCAACAATCATGAGAACGAGACTTAGTAAAGTAATTTTCTTATTGTACCGAAGAGTTTGTAACAAATAATACATATTCATTGTAAAAATAATGTTTGGTGTATGAAGGCCAGTTTTAATAAAATAGTAGGCGAAAAATAACTCAAAATCCAAACATACCAAAATTGGGCCAAAAATCCCTCCAATTGTTAAACTTCGACGATGGTGTTGACCTGCGATTCTTTAATGATGGTTCTATGATGGTCTGGTATAAAGACGCACTGCAACTGAACAACATGGAAAATTTTCCACAGCTTGAAGCCAATGTTTTATTTTGTCAATAATTTTCAGAAAAATACAGACATAAATTGTTAAACTGTTTTTGGGGCTTTTGTATAGTGATAAACTATAGTTTGTTTTATTGATGGCTATTAGACAAAAGCTGGATTAAAATCGTTAAATGTAAAGACAGAAAAGAAAAAAATACATAAACTTGATTTTGTCTACTGATATTTTATGCAATTTTCAGATATCCAAAAATTGGATGATTGATTTTTCTTTATAATTTAAGTATTGAATCTTGTATTTCTAATAATTTAAGTGTAATTGTAAATTTAATAATTCCTAAAGCTTAATGAAGAATTATGATTCTTTATAGGGTTTTAAGAAATTTTTTGTTATAATTCGCTGATGTTTCAATTTAATTACATATTGATGAAATTCCAATATTTTAAATTTTTAATTGTCATATAAACAAATATCAATACCAAATTTTCATTGTAAAAATGTAGAAAATCTAATTGTATTTTGTGTATTCCGTACTTATCGATGGGAGGAAAATAAATTTTGTCATTTCGATTTTTTTAAAGCTCAGTTGGGTAGAATTTCGTCGTAAGGCAGACCGTCGCAGATCTTGTTCGCCGACCTGAGAATGAACAGGGACAAGCTTTCCGAAATAATAGGTTTCAGCTCCTTCAAGAAGTACTGGAAGTTGAGGTTTATCGCAGCGTTGATCGTGTCACCTAGTTCATCACCATAATTAATAAAAATTTGCGAATTTGGCTATTTTTGTTTTAAATTACCAAGAAGTTTTTCTCCGCCGAACAGATTGCTGAGGACTATTTTCCCATTGGCAACATTAACGTCGACGTCCATGGCTTTGAAGTGTAGCTGGTTTACGCCGTCTTTAGTTATTTGCTCTCCGTGCATGGTCACAAATGCCTCGACATTGTCTAAAAAATTGATTTTGTAAAAAATAAAGAATTTTCTTGAAAATTACTACTCTAAGCTGAAACTTTTATTCTATTGAGCAACAATCAGCATGAGACGCCATAAGTTCTATTGACCGTATAGATCATAATAATAAATTGAATGAAGAAGCTTTCCAATGTTAAGACTATTAAATCATTTATTGATTATAATCACTTTAACTCTCTCAGAGGTAGATCCCGTGAGCAGCTCTCTGCCTCTTCAGAGTCGTTCGAAGATTTACTGGGAAGGGATCGAAGAAGTTACAGGAGAGAATTTTTGTCGTTATGGATGGAACACATTAATTCAATGTAGCTAGTTTTACATAAATATTGACCTGTAAATTAATATTTTATTATGGAAGGAGAGTTTAGAACGACTGTCTACTAGTCTTTCAAGTAAGCTGTATGCTGGTAGTTCCGTCCCTTTGAGTCGTATAAGGTATATAACTTATATACCCATTGTCGTGGATGAAGTTTTTACTGGAAGGTCAGTAAGGTTAAAATGACCTCTTTCAATTAATTAATCTTTTTTGTAAGGTTTTGGTTGAATGAAAACTTAGTGTCTCGAGCAGGATGCGAACCCACGACCTTCGGCTCAATACGCCGCTGCTCTAACCAGTTGAGCTATCATGACTTTATAAAAAAGTTAGTGTCACGGGATGGAGCAGCGGCGTATGAGCCGAACGTCGTGGGTTCGAATCCCGCTCAAAACACAACTTTTTCCCTTCGACCAAAACATTACATACAAAAATTAATTAACTGAAAGAAGTAATTTGGTCAATAGACCACTAAATATAATGGGGTTATAATTACTATAACTCTCCCTGATCAGAATAGATAGGTAATGTGATATAATAAATTATGTTTTGGTACTTCATTTTCTTTAGTTATCTGTATGGGAAAAGACCTGGGCACCTGTTACAGAGAGTGAGAGAGGAAATGTCTGAGTGTGATTTTTTCAAGAAAAGAAAACACACAAACATATTTTTCCCGATATTACTAACTAAATAATATATAATATTTCAGAATTTTAAATTTCAAATGTCCACTTACATACATCACAGATCATATCGCCGTCGCCTTTTATGGGGATCATAAGGATTTTTCCGTCGACGACGTAATTGCCGAGGATTTTCAGATGGTCGAAAGCTATGGTGAATTTGTATATGTAGGAAGGGATGTCGATCCTGAAACGTAAAATGTAATGTTTTTTTTTATGCTGTTTGTTTAAAATGTGTTATAGTAACTTACGCCATGCTCAGGATTGTAAAGTTTCCTCCGCCGTGTGCCTTCAAGTCCTTGGTCGTCACGGTCAACCCGCTTCCTTTGGTCGATATCGGTTCTTCGATGATCAGCGGCTCAATCGGAGGCACACCGAGTTCAGGTATTCCTTGTAAAGAAAAATTTAAAATAATATTAGTGTTTCCCTTAAAAAAACAAAAATGTTTGGCTATATGTTGAGGTGATATGAGGAGTCGGCCTATTGATAACCGCGACCGATATTGGTCTATTAAGCAATATCTAGAATCTAAATCTGAAAGATTTATTCCCAAATAACTTGCCGCCAGATTTTATGAGCTTATAAAAAAAGTTTCTTCAGCGAAGGAATCATGCTTCATATTAATTCATGCTTAATTTTACGATTCGAAAAAATATATCTAATTAGTTAATCATGTAGGTCTATATTTATTAGATGATAGTATTACCTAAAGGGATTCCCTCCTAATCTCAGCATTTCAGTACCGCGGATTCCCAAAGGTCTCGTCCAAGTTCTTGGGGAAGAGTATATATCTCGGTGAGTGTTACGGAAAACTGAAGGAAATAGAAGATGGAAAGGCTTAGACCAAAGTCTAGCAACAAACCTATGAATTGCTTCCTCCCTGAAAAGTTCCGGAGGAAGGACACCGGCATCATTGCTTGTTCTAAACGCCCCTGTTGCAATCCTGATACCTTGGTAATAAATTCTATCTAGAGGTTTTAAAGTTGATATACGCGCTAAAGAGTAACCTGCTGCTCCGTATCGAAACTTTGCTCCTAAGTACACGCTGAATATTCTTAAAAGAATGTCTCTATTCGCTCCCCAATTGTAATTAGCGAGGAATCTCATCAGTCCTAGTATTTTCCTTCCTGAATTAGACAATTGGGCTATTTGAGGTTTCCATCGAAGGGCTTTATCGAAAGAAACGCCAAAATATTTGACAACGTCGACTTCCTTTATTTCAACGCCAGAAAGGAAAAGCCGAGGAGTTTCATGATGTTTTCTTAGTCTACAAAAGTGTACAAATACCGTTTTGGGCAAAAGAATTTGAAACCCACATCGTCTGCTTTTCGTGACAATGTGTCAATGGCGTTTTGTAAAGTCCTTCCTACGTTTTGGAGATTTTTCCCAGACAAGTAAAAGCAAAGATCATCGACATATAAAGGCCTGACTATACGATCATCTATATTATCAGCAAGACCGTTTACCGCAATGGCAAATAAAGTGACACTCAGAACCGAACCCTGAGGAATCCCGTTTTCTTGAATGAACGTACTAGATAAGGCGGTACCTAATCTCACCCGGAATCTCCTCATTTCGAGGAAGCTTTTTAAAAATTTAGCTGTGTTCCCTCTTAAACCCCAATCATAGAGTTTCTTAAGAATACCAAATCTCCAGGTCGTATCGTATGCTTTTTCCAGGTCGAAGAAGACAGCTAAAGCATGCTCTCTCTCCAAGAAAGTGTTCTGAATAGCACTTTCAAGGAGCGCTACATGATCTTCAGAGCAAAAGTGCTTTCTAAACCCAGCCTGGTATGGACTGTACAGACCTTTTTTCTCAATAAACCAATTTAACCTTTTGTTAATTATGGCTTCCAATGTCTTGCTGAGACATGATGTTAGAGAAATAGGTCTGTAATTTTCTGGGAGGCTAGGATCTTTACCCGGCTTGGCAATGGGTATCACGACCGACTCCCTCCAGTTTTCAGGATAATATCCCGCACCCCNATATTATTATTATAATAATTATATTAATATTATATTAATATTACCTGAATATTAACATAAATATAGTATTACCTAATTCATTAAATTTTAAAAGCCTTAGCTTACTCAAGTTCCGTCTTTAAACATGTAGAGTTCAATATCTGATCCAAAATTTTAATAATTGGTATAAGGTATTTGCTAAAGTCGTTGGGGTAATGGATGGATAAAAAAATTCTAAAATATTATTTTCTCGATTAGTTAGTTATAGTTACCTTGGATTAAATTGGGCCGCAGATCCTCGACAGACTGCTTTATACAGCCTGCCAAGTCGGGTTGGTTGCGGTGGCATATGTGCAGATATTCGGCTGAAAAATTAATTTAAAAAAAAATTCAAGTTTTTAAACATCAATACAGTAAGATATCGTTATTACGTAAATCTATCGATGAAACGGACAGGAAGCATAATACGGAAAGGTAGAAAAAACGTGGCCAATGGTGCATGTTAAACCTGAAAAAAGAGAAAAACACTCACAACGGGTGCCTATGAATCATAAATTGTAATGACACATTTTAGTGATGAGAAAAAAATAAGAATTTTTTTAGCTTATGTTTTTCTACTATTGTTGTATTTTATTTAATCTGTTTTATTAATTTTACTTCTGAGACCATTAATATTTTAAGTAATTAAATAAACAAGATTCCTTCCACTCCATTATATATCGTGTTCCGACTGACGAAACTTCTTTCAATTAAGTAATCCTTATGTAAGGTATTGGTTGAAATATAAAAGTAAGTGCGACGAGCGGGATTCGAACCCACTACCTTCAATACGCCGCTGCTTTACCACTTGAGCTATCGTGACGACAACCCTGTCTCGATAGCTCAAGTGGTAGAGCAGCGGCGTATTGAGCGGAACGTCGTGGGTTCGAATCCCGCTCGTCTCACTAACTTTTTCATTTGAACTAATACCTTAGATAAAGATGCCTTCCACTGTCGTGAGACCTGACGGCAAACGGGAAGAAGTCAAGTCGACATTTGAGGAACACCAATTTTTTTGCATAGAGTGTGTCCGATACTGAATTTTTTTATTCAAGTTGATAATTCTCAGTTGAAGAATTTATTTAAAACTTACCATCCATAATCCACGCCACGTTTAAATACTTCATTACGAGACCAATTGATGAATGTTTGAATAGCTCCATGTCACACGTAAATCTTTGTTTACTTAATATCCTTGTTTATTCGCCACACACATATTTATTAGAGCAATTACCAAATTGTCGAAATTTACCAAAACGGTAGCAATTTCACCAGTCAATTTAATTTTATAAGCTGAAACGAACGTGTGTTAAATGTTTCAACACTTAATAGCTCTTCTTGAAAAAAACATTTGTCAAGCGTCACGTTCTAAGACCAGTGAAGACCAAATTGCTTTCTACAGAAAAGAAATAAACTTTGACGATTGGTTTTATTCGAAGCCAAAAATAGGGTAGAAGACTGAAGTTTAGACTATAAACTTTGTGTAATAAATAAACCTAGCAGGTCAGAAAACATAAAATTGTCTTACATTAAACTTTGTGAATCATCAATTTTTCAGTTCGTTTCAAACATTTTACAAATAGATATCGTCTCTACTTCACAGTATTCAGTTCAGTTAAGTTAAAACTTTTACAAAGTCCATTTTATTTAGTGGTCTAATGACAAAATTACTTCTTTCAATTAATTAATCTTTTTATGTAAGGTTTGGCTGAAATGAAAAAGTGGGTGCCACGACTTTCGACTAGTGGGTTCGAATCCCGCTCGAAGCACCATTTTGTTCATTTTAACCAAAACCTTACATAAAAATTTTTTGGAAAGATTAAAGCCTAAAAAATGAAACGTAGTGAGTAAAACAATTCCGTGAGTTGTGATAATTTTCGAGTAAGTATAGATTGTTTTTACGCGAAAGATTTGCCAGTGTTATTCTCCTTTTTAAGCATATCAACGGCGCAAAGTTTACATCTTCGTGATTTGTCTTAGGGCGAAGCTAGCCATTTAATAACCGTTTTGTGGAATTATGAGGTTGTTTTGAGCTCGGAGCTTGTTCCAGATGGCGAGGCTATTGATTCTCAACTTAATGCACAACATCTCGACAAAATACGTAAAGTCCTAAGGCAAAATAGTCCTAGTTGAAGGAAGTTATGATTTTTGATACAAGCGAAATTTGGGGGTATTTAATGAGCCAGGCGTTACACCTCTGACACTCTGACCTTTCACCTTACTATAGCTTTTAATGGTGACACTTTTTTTCATTATGGACACGTACGTTTGTTCAGTGATGTGAAAAAAATTGCTTATATGCAGTTAAGTTTGCTTCTCTTCTATTACCCCGTTGATTACAAAGTTTCTTGGGAAGTGTGAATGAAATTAGTAGTTTTTAATTAATTAAGGTTTTAAGTTGAGATAAAAAAGTCAGTGTAACGAGTGGGATTCGAACCCACGACCTTCGGCTAGATACGCCGCTACTCTCCCACTGAACTATCGTGACTTCGATCGCCTCGGGCACTAACTTCCCATCTCAACCCCACCTTTTGAATTTTCCCTCCTTTTTACCATTTTTCAAATGTCGTGTAATATATTTAATTCTCGGCGACAAGTGAAATGGCCACGGAGAGCTTAGTGAAGTATACTTTCTTTTCATTCACTAAAGTCCTTAATTAATTAAATGATATTAATTGGTCAAGCGGACCACGAAAAATAGTGAATGTAATTAGTAGCGTGTATAAGGGGGTTTATTCATTTCTGGCCCAGAGGAATATCGAGTTAACTTATGACTAGAAAGTCCCAGAGGAATATTGATTATTCTGGGGCATTGTAAAATTCTTGGGTGTGATTTAATTTATAAGAGTGAATTCCCCGTTATCTCGAAGAATGAAGTTACTATTGAATAAGTTACTTACTATGGGGTAGTATGAATACTAACGAGGCTACAATGTATTTAAATTAATATATTTTTATTAGTTGTTATATTATATGTATAAGGTATTTGTACTTACGATGCCCTGAGGAAAAGAGAGGGTATCAATAAAATATGTTTAACTAATTAGTCTTTAAGTAAGGTATTGGTTGATATAAAAAGGTCAGTGTCACGAGCCGGATTCGAACCCACGGCTTTCGGCTACATACGCCGATGCTGAGCAGTTTAATTAATTGAAAACAATTTATTTAGTCAATCGAACCACGAAACCTAATCGATTTAATATGTTTAACTTTAAAAAATAAAACAACTTCTACTATAAATTTCATGTAAGAACAACGTTAAAGAAAAATCCTTAGTAAGCTGTTACATTCCACAAACTAAATCAGTACTACCGTTTAGTATAAAATCATTGCAAACTATATTAAGTTAATATGAAAAAGCTCAAGTTTAATCTAAAACACATTTAGTATTTCACCTTAAGTATTCAAATTGAATTTAAAGTATCCAATTTCATTTGAAACTAATTTTTAATTCTACTTTCATTAGTTCATTCTTTTTGTAATGAAAAATTTATATCAAAACTTGTTTCGTTAAATAATCAAAGTAAATGCACGTTTGTAAATAAAAAACATGTGGAATCAATCTTTTTTGCTATATAAAACACTCATAAACCTACTTTTGCATTAAATAATTAATATAATTTTTTCATGTGTGCGTAAAAGTGTCAAGATGAGTTGCATCTATATTATAGCTGACATACCAAATAAAACACGTTTTAATTAACTAATTCATGTTAATCATCCAAAAGTGAGTCTGAATTCAGTTTTGACAAAATGGTAATTTATTTATTACTTCGTTAACAAATAAATGTAATTCTACATCGTTACTAGTAGGATTATGTCTAAACATAAAATAAGTCAATAGATGAACTTAAATTTTCGTTAAAAACCCAGTCTAAATTTGATATGAGTTTTAAATATTGGATAAACCTGTTTTTGTTAGAAAATACTACATTGATGGACAAAACGTCATGTTGAAATGACATTTTATCACGTCAAAACGTCCTAAACTATTTTTACTTATTATTTGAAGCTCGTGAGGTACGGTCTGGTGTGACGTAGGTTTTAGAAAACATTTTCTTTATCGTGCCAACTTTTCGATCTTTATAGAGATCATCTTCAGGGTTTGTGCTTTTTGACTTCTGCCCCTACCCTATGTTCTATTTTTCTAAATATCTCTTTTTTTATATTTTTATTTAGAAGATAGTAAAATTTTCTTTTACTTCTATTTAGTCAGACATTTTTGAAACAATATCATTTAATATTATCCTTTTTCGTATTATGTGTGGGGTTTCTCTGCGTCATACTGTATTTCATTTTGTCCTAAGAGCCAGTTTGAGCAGTTGTTGCCATCGTATGGATGTATGTGTTAAGCTCTTTTTTTGTATCCCAGGCCCAGAGGTTTCTTTTTATAATATACAAAATTCAGGCAATCAGAAATGTAAACTCTTTAAAAAATTTCGAAATTAATTTTCAGACAGCTCGGGAATCAAGGGTGCATGTGTATTCACTATTCAGTGTGTGGTGATTAGTGACCGTTAGTCTATGATTATTCAGAAATCGTGAGATGCGGTCTGGTGTGATGTAGGTTTCAGAGAAACTTTTTCTTTATCGTGCCAACGTTTCGATCTTTATTGAGATCATCTTCAGGGCACAAAGTGTTTGTTTTCTGCGTAATTGTGTCGTTCTTGATCATGAGGGCACTCTCAACACGACAAACAAGAATAACACAATAACGCAGAAAACAAACACTTTGAGCCCTGAAGATGATCTCAATAAAGATCGAAACGTTGGCACGGTAAAGAAAATGTTTTTTTCTAAAACCTACGTCACACCGGAACGCATCTCACGATCTCCGAATAAACATTAACTAAAGGTCACTAAACACCACATCGTAAAATTTTATTTTCAACCTAAAAAATAAATTTGGTCTTCACTAATCATACGTATGGTGTGTCAGTCGCCTTTTGTCATCTTCAGTTTTTAATATGTGTGCTTTCTGTCCAAATGTAATTTCAAGCAGAAAAATACATGTTGGAATTTTACTCACATTTAAAATATGATTATGTATTCAGTATGGAGACCCTCGTCGTTAATTGATTTAAAAAATGTAAATCTAATTCATCAGAGACAACTTGCAACGTAAAATGCATTTTAGACTGAAATACAATTTTTTGTTAGAGGAATCGTCGATTGGCCGTAGTTGTCATATTTGGTTAATGCCTGTAGAAATTTATTATAAATTTGAAACAATATGTTGTGCTTTAATTGACTATAATACGTGTTTAAATTACGCTGGTTATTTATGATTATTTCAATATCAGTTTTATCTTATTAGAAATTTTTAAACTCAAATAAATGTGTTTTATTATTTTTGCTTTGAAAGATGTACTTTATTGCACTTTCAAACAGGGGGATTCTACGCCTCAAATGCAACAAAAACGCGGTAGCCGAGTGGTTAGCGCGAGAGACTCTCGGCTCATAGACGCCGCGGTCGTGGGTTCGATTCCCACCGTCGCCTCTGGCCCTTTTTTCACGATACCCCCCCCCAAATATGAACACACGTACAAGAATTCGTCACCATGGTCATCAAACATAGTGAACAACCAAATTGAGTTGACTTTTTCTTTATTAAATTAAAGTTGGGAAATAAATTTTGCCCAGGGAAAAGTTTAATTATTAAATTAACCCATTCGTCACTTTTCACACTGCCACTACTTTTTTCCCATTTAGCATAAAATGTCTGCATTTTCTCTCGATCTAATTATCGAAAATGGTATACATATAGGCAGCTTATGAAAGCAAGAAGTTGTTATGAAATTTAGCAAGATCTAACGTGAATTGTTCCAATGAAAGTGTAAATTTAGTTCGTTTCACATTTTAAATTTAACAGTTGTTTTAAAGATTTAGTGCTTCTTTTTACAAAAACTAAACTTGAAAGTTCTTATAGGATGCTTTATTAAAGGAAATTTAACCCTTTTTTTAATCCATTTTGTGGATTTTCCCAAAAACTGAATAGTTCAGAGCTGCGAGTAAGTTTATGATGAAAACCGTCGATAGTTAAAAAAACCATAAAATATTGAATATCTGCAAAATTTTGAGAATCCGATCATGGTTCTGATGAACTTTATTTGTTGCATTTGAGGTGTAGAAGTACTTGACGAACTTTGTTGCTCGAGTGTCGAATCACCCTGTATTTGTACTTTATGTTATTAGCCGAAGAGTTAACGTAGAGATTTAATATTGAAAGAGTTAACAATTCAACAATAATTACACATTTATAATATTGGTTTTAAAGTAAAGTAAAAAAGAATTTTTATAATGAAATAACCGCTTTTATACAGACTTGTCATACTTACGCTTGGTTATTTGAAAAATTGAAATAACGTCTCCGTTCCAAAGCACAGAACACTGTTGAGAAGGATCGACTCTATGCTTTAACATATGTCCTCATTTGAAGTGTCTCGGGCCAAATGTACCGACTCCTTTATATAATGTTCAAAGGCCATGCAAGGCCATCAGTAATGACAGTCATTGTTTTGAAAATCGGCTGGATAAATGAACGCGCAGGCCGCGTTTTTCTTCCGAAGACATCCCGCTGCTTATTAAACTACCTGCCTTTCCTTAACGACGTTAAATTGCCGTCGTTCCTGTATTAATGAATTATGGCTCGTTTGCGGTCGTTTCATTAGGTTCTAGATGGTTAGGGATGGTCTTAAAACTGCCATAAAACATAATTTGGACATATTATTGTTGATTTATAAGGCGACGCCTCTGAAAAAGGCTTTTTGTGAGCAGACAAACATATCGCTCAATTGAATAATAAAACACACAAATTGATTAGAATTTTTCTATTTTTAGAAAAAATTATTTTAAAAATGGAAAAATCATCCCTCTATCAGGCTGCAAGCCTAATCGTTGATGTGAAAAATGAGAAGAAAAACACCATGCTAATTTTACTGAATTTTAAGGATGGAAAATATTTTTCCTTATTAATTTATATAAACTCAAATCTGCATACGCATGTACGTTTATATGGTCATGACACACTGGTCCAGAGAGTTAATCCTATACCGGCAATTCCAGAATGATTTACATAATTTTTGACTACGTCTATCATCGATTTTTATTAAAAAAACTAAAATTAATAGGAATTGCGGAGGTTCCAAATAAATTTATTGGGTCTCATTTATTGGGTAGAACTCAGACAGCGAAAGTTGGAACAATCTATAGCAATCCATTGCCCGGCGTCTCTCAAGGTACGGTTTTAGGTCCACTGATTTTCCTTTTGTATATAAATGATCTTCCAAAATAGAAAATATCCGGGAAGTTTTTAGTTATGCTGATGATACGTGCATGAATATTTCTGGAAGGATAATTGATTATTTGTTTATATCTAATCAAAACAAGCTACCTATAGCTCAAGTGGTAAAGGAGCGGCGTATTTAGCCGAAGGCCGTGGGTTCGAATCCCGCTCATGACACTGACTTTTTATCTTAACTAATACCTTACATAAAGATTAATTTAAATTTTATTTCCATACCAGTATTAAATCATTCAACTGTAACTGTTCTCCCATAACAATTACAAATAATACTAATTACTTAGGAGTTTTATTAAACTCTAGGTTAAATATAAATGTGTGGTGATTAGTGACCGTTAATCGATAATTATTCAGAAATCGTGAGATGCGGTCAGGTGTGATGTAGGTTTCAGAAAAACATTTTCTTTTTCGTGGCCACGTTTCGATCTTTATTGAGATCATCTTCAGGGGCTGGGATTTATAAACATTGTTTACATTTAACAAATACATGTAGGATGTGGAAAAAATTGAATTTATACAATGCAAAAAATATTTTTTTATCTTCAATTAAAGTATTTCTCCTCACTCGAAGTGTTGGTTTTCTGTGTAATTGTGCCATTCTTGTGTGTCGTGTTGAGAGTGCCAGTGAGATATTCCTGTTTTATGTTTATATCAGTAATTAATTTAGATGTTGGAAAATCTGTTTTGTCGTAAGGAATGGAATGTTTGGGACCAAGTGTTAGGGAATTCTGGATTTCTGGAGGAATGTTAGTTTTTGTTAGGTTTAGAAACCATTTGTTTGTGTTAACAGGTATTTGTTTGTCGGTTAAGTTATTCAATTTTTTGATGTGTTTGTTTTTAATTTGGCCAAAGTGGACATTGTATGCATATTTTTGATGTGTGTAAAATTTTTATAAACATAAAACAGCAATTCATCAACACGACACGCAAGAATGGCACAATTACCCACAAAACAAACACTTTGAGTGAGTAGAAATACTTTGATTGAAGATAAAAAATTATATTTTGCATTGTATAAATTCACTTTTTTCCACATCCTACATGTATTTGTTAAATTTAAACAATGTTTGTAAATCCCAGGCCCTGAAGATGATCTCAATAAAGATCGAAACGTTGGCACGATAAAGAAAATGTTTTTCTNCATCCTACATGTATTTGTAAAATGTAAACAATATTTATAAATTCCAGGCCCTGAAGATGGTCTCAATAAAGATCGAAACGTTGGCACGATAAAGAAAATGTTTTTCTGAAACCTACATCACACCAGACCGCATCTCACGATTTCTGAATAATCTATAAATATAACCACTAATTTTGAGGTCCGCTTGACCAATTAATATATTACAATTAATTAAGGTTTTTAGTTGAGATAAAAAAGTCAATGGCACGAGCGGGATTCGAACGCACTATCTTCGGCTAGATACGCCGCTGCTCTACCAATTGAGCTATCGTGACCTCGATCCACTCGGTCACTAACTACCCATCACAACCCGACCTTTCCAATTTTCCCTCCTTTTTGTAATTTTTCAAATGTCGTGTAATCTATTTGATTCCCGGCGACAAATAAAATGGCCACGGAGAGCTTTAGTGAAGATATGCTTCATTTAACTTATTAAACTCACTAGTTTTCGTGGTCCGCTTGACCAATTAACATGTTTTAATTAATTAAGGTTTTTAGTTGAGCTAAAAAAGTTAGTGTCACGAGCGGGATTCGAACCCATGATCTTCGGCTACATACGCCGCTGCTCTACCACTTGAGCTATCTTGACCTCGTACTAATCTTTACATTAAATGTTAATTGATCATAATATGTTATGTGTCTTATAAAAATAATTTTAACAAATATAATTCTCATTATGATTTCAAAAAATTGATTACTATACAAATTTTAAATTTATAATTTGAACCGACTTTGTGGTATATTTGGCATCACATTGCAATTATTGTATTGTTTAATTGTTCTTTTATCTTTATTGCATGTGATTTTATTTTCGTTTTTCTCTCTTCATTATTTTTATTTTTTCTTTAATTTATTTTGTTTTATCAACCTTCTAAGCTAGCTTGATTTAATTTTTAGCAATTTTGTTCACTGCCATAACTTCTGCCACCTGTTACAAGCACAGCTTTTAGGTGATAGGCGAAAATGTGCAGATTGGTTAAATGTCTTAATTTTTTTTTCTCTCTTTATCTTACTGTACTTTTCGCAAATAAAATTATTATTATTATTATTTACCCACGGATTCAGACTTGATCCTATAACCTCTCGCAGTACACCCATAATTCCAGAATGATTTACAATAAATTACCAGCTTGCCTCGAGAATTAACCGTTTCAGTCCAGGGACAGGCCTCGGTCTTAACCGTCAAGCCACCGAGTACAGAGAGAACCGGTTACTGTCAACAGCTAGGTCAATCAATTCCTAATTCCAAACCCATTCAACACATTTACACCTATTATACAATTAACTTAATTGAGGGTTGACGGAGTACTCAATATTCCGCCATCAGTCCTCTTTTACTGAACCATTGTTTTCAGCGTCCGTTAAAATGATGTGTCACGATGATAAGGCTATATGAATTTTTGATATTGAACTTGGCCTGAGGTACTAGATTCTCCAAAAAATGTAAAAATTTGAAACTGGACTAAAAAATTTTCAACACGTATTTTTTGATTTTTCAATTTTTACATACACGTATTTATATATATATATATATATTATGCAGGGTGGGCGACCAAGACCCGAGGGGAGGGGCTAAATGCCTGGGTAGACTCGTACCCCATCCCTAAAAGGTCCGGGACTTGGTCGGCTCACGTGTCCTGCATAAACCTCTTGGACCTGTTCACAAACCCCATTTAAACTCGGGGAGTGATTTGGTAATGTCCTCTCCTTCAAAGATTTCAAATCTAGACCTAGCATACCTATCACACTCAGCGAGGCAGTGCCTTGCCGTTTCTTCTTTTATTTCGCAAAACCGCAAAAGTGATCTGGTAGAATACCCATTACGGAGAGGTGACTTCTCAGTGGGAAGTGGCCCGTCAGGATACCTATCAGCCTCCTAATTCCCTTCCTTGAGTTAGAGAATAGCCATTTCGATTCTGCTAGTTTGATCTCCTTAGCAAACTCCTTGGATTGCCTGTGCCCGGGGGATAGATTCCATTCCTTAAGGAATTGCTTCATACCCCAGTTTTTAAGACTCTCTTTCGCTGTGTTCATAGAGTGAGGTAATACCGGTTGTGGCCCGACAAACGCAGTATTAAAGCCTTCTTTGGCCAGGCCTCTTCATTGCCATAGTGTCCTTTATGTGCTGGTATCCAAATAAGGGTTATCCTGTTCTCAAACCTGGAAGAGATCCTATTGATCTACAGTTTCCTCCACCAGTCGTGAAGTCTAGCCTGACTGTCAGAAAATTTTTTTTGGATACCGTCGTTGGTTCAAGACAAATTCAGCTAGGCCCTCTACAAAGGTCATCCTGCATGCTGTTTTGCTTATTCCCAAAAAAAAAAACTTTAAAATGATGTGTCAGAATGTATACCTCGAATTGTGTCATTATTGTAAAAAATTAATCATGAAGATAGAATTAAACAAATAGTTTGATCTAAGAATTAAAATTTCATATAATTGATGTAAGGTAAAAAATAGAAAATCATTTAGAATTATGCCATTCCACCTATTAATTATTTATTATTTGATTTTTTCCGGCAAAATATTGATTTATATTATCTTCAAATGGGAAACAATTGATCATTGGTTTCAAGAAGACCTGGGGGAAATAATTTAAAAAATCACAGTCAATGGTCTTATACGTCCGAGGTTGGGCTACAGGACTACTAGCAGCTAATTCATTTCAGCTCCAACGCAATCAATTCCTAAAACCATACCCATCACTTTTCACTAATACATTCAATACATTTTTTTTCTTATATACCATCCACTTAGTTATGGCGGTGCAATCTTAGTCCATTACCTTTTACAACTATTATATAACTAACCTAATTGACGGTTGATAGGGAATTCAATATTGCGAGTTCGGCCCTCTCACACTACACATTCACGATAATAAATACATTCACTCTCTAGACACGGTAGAGAAACAAAACTATTAGTATTATATGTATTAAAACAATCCTTTTTTTTTTTTTTTCAAAAAATCGGAACAGTGTACTCAATTGCTCGCTCCCGAATTTAAGCTCGATTCTAATATCTAATGGCATTCCTACACGCCCTCTTTAAGGAGCCAAGGATTTCATGTATCCATGTTAATTAATTGTGTAATGTTAATTCAATTAAAGAAGAAGAAGAGATTCAAGGAAAGAGATTTATTTGTGTATAAAAGAAATAAATATTTTGTGATATCATAAAATGCGTTTTGAAATAAATAATAATTATTCGATGATCCAGTATTCGTACGGGATCCTGGAAAACAGATTATCGACGAATTGGGCCATGGTGGACAAAAGCTTTTTCTTTATTGAAGGTTTCATTTCCCTGAGAAGCTCCTGGCTGTGCGAGTTGATAAACAAATTCAAAGCGGCTTCTGAAAAAGGTAAAATAAACTATTTATTGAGATTGAAAGGTGTATTTTATAGATCAACCAATATAAAAAAAGATTTTCTTTTTTACAGAATGATTCTTCGGAGATCGTGAGATGCGGTTTGGTGTGACGTAGGTTTTAGTTGGTGAGTTGGGCACTCTTAACACGACCCACAAGAATGACACATCTACGCAGAAAATAAACACTTTGAGCCCTGAAGATGATCTCAATAAAGACCGAAACGTTGGCACGATAAAGAAAATGTTTTTCTAAAACCTACGTCACACCAGACCGTATCTCACGAGTTTCAAATAATAAGTAAAAATAGTTTAAGACGTTTTGACGTGCTGAAATGTCATTTCAACATGACGTTTTGTCCATCAATGTAGTATTTTCTAACAAAACAGGTTTATTCCAATATTTAAAATTCATATAAAATTTACACTGGGTTTTTAACGAAAATTTAGGTTCATCTATTGACTTATTTTGTGTTTAGACATAACCCAACTACTGACAATGTAGAATTACATTTATTTGATAACGAAATAATAAATAAATTAACATTTTGTCAAAACTAAATTCAGACTCACCATTGGAAGATTAACATGAATTAGTTAATTAAAAAGTTGGTTTTTTTGCTATCTCAGCTATAATATAGGTTCAACTCACCTTGACACTTTTACTCACACATGAAAAAATTACATTAATTATTTAATGCAAAAGTAGGTTTATGAGTGTTTTATACAGCAAAAGAAGGTTGATTCCACATGTTTTTTATTTACAAATGTGCATTTACTTTGATTATTTAACGAAACAAGTTTTTATATAAATTTTTAATTACAAAAACGAGCCTTTATCCTTAATTAATTTAGCTCATAAATTTCTTTTTACAAAACTCAATAAAGAATGAAAATAAAAATGGCATTCTTTTAAAAGCGTTCACAAAAAAAACGATAATTATTATGTAATTAGTAACTAAAATTTATCATGTAAACTTTTCTGAATTGAGGTAAAGTTAGAAAAACAATTCATTAGAAAACACTCACTCAATCAAAACTTGATTTCCAGGCCTAATCAAACTTGTGTAACCCCTACTTTAATAAACTGCGGAAATCTTTAAATAAATTGATTATTCAGAAATCGTGAGATGCGGTCTGGTGTGATGTAGGTTTCAGAAAAACATTTTCTTTATCGTGCCAACGTTTCGATCTTTATTGAGATTAAGGATAAAGGATTTTGAACATATACGTAACTATTTATAAATGGATTACATCAACAAAGATAAACACAGCATCAATTACAGAACAGGTACAAGTAAACTCAGTCACAGCTACGCCAATATCATTAATCATATTCAATTTTTTTACATGGTCTATTTTTTCAACAATTTAGCTTTCCTTTTCCTATTTATCCCCGTCTATAAAATCTTAAAACGATTTATTGTTTTAAAAATAATTAAAATCTATTTTCTGGACCAAAGAAGAATGAAATCTTCTCAATGTATATGCTACTGAGAATAGAGTATGTGACGTCCATTTTAGTCAGTATATTATCCAAATCGTCCTACAACCTTAGCAAACTCCAAACGGCCAATAAGCCAAACATCGTTCGTACAGAAGACAGTATAGAATAGAATAGAACAAGAAGTAAAAGAATATCACTTTGCAATTTTTTACCAGAGCGACAAATCTACAGAAACATTATCAGGATTAAAGATGTAGTAGTGTGGTAGCAAGTGCTACTAACTAGGCTCATGACCTAGAAATAGCTTTGATAACACCTCATATTAAACCGTTGAAGCAACTGCAAGGAAAAAGGGCAAAGACTATTAATTGGTACAACTATCAAATATTAAGAAAATAAGGATTCTCTAAGAGTGGACCCTTGGTAGTTGGTATAAAAAAAAGAATTTTGATAAAAATATTTCATCTCATATACCATTAATAGGAAGAAAGTGTGACATTGTTTCAATTTAACAGAGAAGCTTAATCTAAAAGCCCATTTAAACAAAAATAAAAATATAAATTTCAGATCAAAAGTTCACGTGGATAGGACATACAGACTAAACAATACAAAAAGCAAAGGTCAACAAATTTGATTCAAAAATTTTGTTATAAAACGTGGTGTTCTATTGGTGGTATTTGGTTTTGACTCTGACCATATACGGAGCCAAAATATGCAGGAGAAGAATTTTAGAAATGAAGATTACATATGTCACACTTCATTTTTTTCGTAGTGACACGTTGTGATTTGAGGTTTGGGACTGGTTATTGCAATGCCTGATTGCACTTTTAAGGTAGAGTTCAGATTTTACCCATTATTGCATGAGAGAAAAGAGGTGTTGTATCCAAAATAATAGCTCTCAATAAAGGGAGGTCATAATCCACACAATTGACTTAAAATTGAAAATGGCAAAAAGGAATGAAAATTTGAAAGGTAGGTTGAAGTGGGAAGTTGGTGCCCGAGTGGATCGAAGTCACGATAGCTCAAATGGTAGAGCATCGGCGTATCGAGCCGAAGGTCGACACTAGCTTTTTCATTTCAACCAATACCTTACATAAAGATTAATTAATTGAAAGAAGTTATTTGCTCAATCGGACCACGAAATATAATGGATTTAAAATTGAATAGTGATTATTTGGAAATCGTGAGATGCGGTCTGGTGTGATGTAGGTATCAGAAAAACATTTTCTTTATCGTGCCAACGTTTCGATCTTTATTGAGATCATCTTCAAGGCTTAAAGTGTTTGTTTTCTGGAAGAGTGCCTGAACAATGGGCACTCTCAACTCAAAAAATTACAGTAATATCCATCATTATTCAGAAATCGTGAGATACGGTCAGGTGTGACGTAGGTTTTAGAAAAACATTTTCTTTATCGTGCCAACGTTTCGGTCTTTATTGAGATCATCTTCAGGGCTCAAAGTGTTTATTTTCTGCGTATATGTGTCATTCTTGTGGGTTGTGTTAAGAGTGCCCAACTCACCCACTACGCAGAAAACAAACATTACGAGCCCTGAAGATGATCTCAATAAAGATCGAAACGTTGGCACGATAAAGAAAATGTTTTTCTGAAACCTACATCACACCAGACAACATCACACGATTTCTGAATAATCATCGACTAACGGTCACTAATCACGACGTCGAAGGGAAAAAAACGTTGGTATTGGTTCGGCCAGATTATCCTTTCAGGATTTTATAGACTGGGATAAATAGGAAAAGGAATGCTAAATTGTTGAAAAAATAGACCACGTAAAATTGTTTGACGTGTGGAATGTGATGAATGTTTTATATGTTATATTATACGTTTTGTGTGATCCTGATGATATATGTATGTTATCTATATTGAATATGATTAATGATATTGGCGTAGCTGCGACTGAGTTTACATGTATCTGTTCTGTAATTGATGCTGTGTTTATCTTTGTTGATGTAATCCATTTCTAAAAAGTTACGTTTATGTTTGTTTTGTTCTGTGTGCAATATTTTTGGATTGTTGAAGTGGAAATTGGGTTTGTGTTCAAAATCGTTTATCCTTAATCATTGACTAACGGTCACTAATCACCACACGCTGAATAGTGAATACACATCCACCCTTGTTTCCCGACCTGTCTGAAAATTAATTTCGAATTTTTTTAAAGAGTTTACATTTCTGTTTGTCTAAATTTTGTATATTATAAAAAGAAGCCTGATCTATTTGTATTCAGGTTTGAACAAAATCTCTGGGCCTGTGATACAAAAAAAGAGCTTAACATCTACATCCAGACGATGGCAACAACTACTCAAACTGGCTCTTAGGACAAAATGAAATACAGTCTGACCTAGAGAAAGCCCACATATAATACCAAAAAGGATAATATTAAATGATATTGTTTCAAAAATGTCTTACAAAATGGAAGTAAAAGAAAATTTTACTGTCTTCTAAATAAAAATACGAAAAAGAGATATTCAGAAAAATAGAACATAGAGGAGGGACAGAAGTCAAAAAGCACAATTTGGACCTGTTGAAATCTCAAAGCTCTTTACCATCGATTTTCCAAGCTGAAAATATTGCAATAAAATATTATCACAAGCAGCACAGACATATTCTCATAGAACCAAGCGCCATTGACGACTTTCGTCTTATTTCCCTTCAACGCAAATATCTTTTGGAAATGTCTAACATATCTCCAACCCTTGTGAAAACGAACGGAGGTGATTCTGAAGTGCGTGCTAGAATACGATGGCATTGGTGACGAAAGACTGACAAGCTAGCAAAAACAGCCCTAAACCCTTTGGACCTGAACTGAAAAAAATTGAGAACGCAATATCACATACAGGATGAATTCACGGCGCGAAACAACCATATAAGTTCATCAACATCTAAATAAAATTGCCTGTCATTGTGATATAGAAATAAACACAAATGTGCCTGTTTACCTATAAATATTTCTAACCTAAAATTTTGTTGATTTAAAATAATACAAACTCTATTTAAGATAAGCCAATAAACATAATGCCCAATTGAATAATAGGACACGAACTTTATAAGCTCGGGTTACATTTTAGTTTAAAAACAACCGCATAAGAAACCTCATTTGTCTAAAAGCTCATTCAAGTTTATACTCTATTATTCTACATCTCTCGTTTGAGAGATCATGTACATCCCACTTTCCGGACAATAGAATAAAGGCTTCATTCGATGGGTTTGGCCGAAAGGAATTCAACGATGTCGAGTTTAGGGAGAATGAGCATTTGTTAATATCCTCCAAAAGATTAATTCGCCCAAAGATAATTTAATTATAATAAAATGAAATCTTCCCTGGGAACGCAATATTACATCAAAGGAAAAGTCTTTCGGCCAATGAATAAAGTGAATCATAAGAAAGAAGCTAGCGAATCAATACAGTCGTATGCCGTCCAAAACGCAAGATTGTGTTACGAGCGCACGTGCTACCTTTCCCATCAAATCATGTAATAAATGTTTTCTGTCCATTTGGAATTATTTAAGCAATAGTTTGAAGATAAATGGATGGAGAAAATATAAAGTTTTTCGGACAATGAAATTATTTTAATTGTGGGAAATATCAATGAATACCGGCGATATACGTTCACAAACAACTGGATACGTTTAAAAATCCAATTGACATAATTTCTAATAGAATTTGTTTAATAGAATGAGGGAGTGAGAGAGGAGGGGTGAGGTAGAGAGAACGAAAGAGAGAGAGGGAGAACTAAAAAGAGAGAGAGAGAGAGAGAGAGAGAGAGAGAGAGAGAGAGAGGGGGGAGAGCGACGAACCCCGTTGGACTGCTTTGATTAGAGTAAGAGAATGAGGGTAAGAGGTATATGAAGTTACATAAATGATACATACAATATTGATAGGTTCACAGAAAGAGAGCAAAGTCTGTCTGGTAGGCATATTAAATGTTCTTTTAACAGATAGCAGAGGTAGGGCAGTTGAATAGAAAAAAAGTGAAAATAGATACAAGCCACACATTAAGTTGTTTCGCAACAATCATAGAAATAGAATTTTTAGAATTAGATACTATTAAAACCATAGCAAAAAAAACGGGTATCTAGAAATATTTACTGATACGTTACAAGTTAAAATCATTAAAAAATTAACTTTAAAAGAATCAACAATAGGATTCAGCCACCCCACCATAAATGAATCATTAGGTTTCCGTTGTTTGCCATACATTGNTTAAAAATCCAATTGACATAATTTCTAATAGAATTTGTTTAATAGAATGAGGGAGTGAGAGAGGAGGGGTGAGGTAGAGAGAACGAAAGAGAGAGAGAGAGAGAGAGAGAGAGAGAGAGAGAGAGAGAGAGAGAGAGAGAGAGAGAGAGAGAGAGAGAGAGAGAGAGAACACACAGCCAGAGAAACAAAGGGAGTAAGAGAATGAGGGTAAGAGGTATATGAAGTTACATAAATGATACATACAATATTGATAGGTTCACAGAAAGAGAGCAAAGTCTGTCTGGTAGGCATATTAAATGTTCTTTTAACAGATAGCAGAGGTAGGGCAGTTGAATAGAAAAAAAGTGAAAATAGATACAAGCCACACATTAAGTTGTTTCGCAACAATCATAGAAATAGAATTTTTAGAATTAGATACTATTAAAACCATAGCAAAAAAAACGGGTATCTAGAAATATTTACTGATACGTTACAAGTTAAAATCATTAAAAAATTAACTTTAAAAGAATCAACAATAGGATTCAGCCACCCCACCATAAATGAATCATTAGGTTTCCGTTGTTTGCCATACATTGGTGAATTATCGGAAAAAGTTAGTAAAATTTTTAAACAAGAAGGTTTTAGAATAGCTATTAGAAGTACGGGGTCACTAAAAAACATCATTTCAAAACCTAAAGACAAGGTAGACAACTTGACAAAAAGCGGGGTTTACCAACTCAATTGTAATGACTGTAATATTAAATATATAGGTCAAAGCGGTAGAGAAATAAAAACGAGATAAAAGAACAACTGCCTAAGTCAAACAAATTTTCGGAATTTAAGTACCAACTAAAAGAAACAAAACATAATTTCCATTCAAATTTAAATACAACAGTGTTACATAGTTTCAACAAAGGTAGAGAACTAGATTGGTTTGAGAAATTTGAAATTAAAAAATGTAAATTTGAACATGGAGATAAATGCATTAATAATATAACAGATTTTGATCTACTTCCCATTTTAAATATGTTTATAAATAATATTAAACGTCCAAATAATTAAACTAATTATTTTAATTGTTATTATTTTTATAATAATTTAATAATATTAAGGTATTATTCTAATTTTTTTCTTTTATTAATGAAAGAATAAAATTAATCAATAATTTACAATTAATTTCTTAAGTATTACAATAGTTATTTGTGTTATAATTCCCGCTTTTCGCACTTCAAATTGAGCGCCATTAAAACCCAGCTCCTCATTGGAACGTCGCGTTGGCGGGGGTATCAGCGGGTTCACTTTGGCAATTCATGTCAAGAGACGTGTTTGTAGAAGTCCTTCAACCTGATGATGAGCTAAAGGGCTCGAAATCGGGATTGTTGCGAAACAACATAATGTGAGTAGGAACCATCTTTTTTAAAAAGGATTGAACTCCACACTCACCCCATCATTTATAATTTCTATAGATACAGGCTTCCGTCTGTGGGAAAATGGCGAGAAATAAAAGTACAGAGAGAAAGGAAGAAAGAGAGAGAGAGAGAGAGAGAGAGAGAGAGAGAGAGTGAGACAGTAAAAGAAATAGATGGTAAGAGAGTAAGAGATTCAGGATAAGAGGTATATGAAGTTACATAAATGTTACATAAAATATTGATAGGTTCACAGAACAGACAGGAAGTCTGTGGGTAGGAATATTGAATGTTCGTTTAATAGATAGCAGAGGTAGGGGCAGTTGGATAGAAAGAAAGTGAAAATACATACAGGATTCCGTCTGTGGGAAAAATGGCGAGAAAGGGAGAGAGAGAGAGATAAAGCGAGAGAGAGAGAAAGAGAGTGAGAGAGAGAGAGAGAGAGGGAGAGAGGGAGAGAGAGAGAGAGAGAGAGAGAGAGAGAGAGTGAGAGAGAGAGAGAAACGCTTTATTTCATCTTGGAAGTTTACCTAACGTATAACCTCCCTTACAACCAATGAGAGAGAGAGAGAAAGAGAGTATGAGAGAGGAGAGAGAGAAAGCTAGAGAAACAGCCATGGAAGGAGAGAGAGACAGAGTGAGAGAGTAAGTTGTAAATGAAGTTAGGTAAATGATACTTTAAATATTGAGTCACAGAAAGAAAGGAATGTCTGTTAGACATATAAAAAGTTAAATTAATAGATAGATAGAGATATATAAATAGAAAGGAAAATTGTGAGATGAGTGTAAGTGTAAACGAAATTACGGAAATGAAACAAAATATTGTTACACAGAAAAACAGAAACGTCGGTTTGATGTATAAAAAGAAAGAAAGTGAGAAGAGAGAGAAAGAGAGAGAGAGAGAGAAATGGGGAGTGTGTGAGAGAGATAAAGATTATAATTATACCTATGTATAATAAAATCCTTTAGTGTAATACCACTGTTGTTTATTAATTTAATTTAAATTTTTCACAAATATGTTACTAATTTAACTGGCAAAATTTGCAACAAACCTATGACAGCGTTTCCGTTGTGGACGTTCTCAATGCCCATTTGGATGTCGCGGACGCTGAAGTCCATCTTGAGGTCCTTCAGGTTCAAATACGTCACACCGTTCACGTCCTGCTTGCTCGCTTTGAGGTAAGTCTTCGCTCTCACTCCCTCTATAAAATTTAAAAACAAAAATTAAAATGTAATTTGGATAATTGTGAAATTAATAAATCGCTTAGGTTACCGTATTTTCCCCAGTAGTCGCCTCCTCCCGTGGCCTGTACCATTATCAGTACACCTGAACTTCTGTAATGCGCCCTGACTGTAATTCTAGGGATGAAGAAAGTCAACTGCAATTGCAAAGTGTCCAGATCTGACCTAAAAAAAATAATCCAAAAGATAATTTACATCAGGCTATGCGCCGTATTTCGTTAGTTTTACATAATTGACCGATAACAATGGATAAAAAGCAAGAACAACAGTCTTTTGTGCCCTAGAGATGTTAGGTAATAATTAAAGACATCGTACCGAACTCCAGTAACTGTCAAGTTGCTCACTCCATAAGCTTTGACGTCTCGGAAAGTGGCTCGATACCCATCCGGGCCGTTTCCCAAGGCGAGGTTGATCTCGTCTAATATTATCGGCTCGACTTCTTCTATTTCAAGCTCGGGTATCCCTTAAAGAGGAAAGAATGATAAAAAAGAACATAAATTTTATATTCCACACTGATAGTACTCACCTCTTCTAAAGTGCATGGCCAAATGGTTGGCGGAGTAGGTGAGGCACTCGTTGACGTTGGGGTCGTTTTTATGACAAGGGTGCAAGATGTAAGCTGAAATCGATTTGAGTTTATATTACACTTTTATGGAAGTTTGTATACAGAGAAAAACTGGGTAAAATTGAAAAAAATATTTGTTTCTTTTATATAAGTCTAAAATTTTGAAAATTGATAAACTCTAAAAACTTGAAATTTCGACAAAAATCAACCATATAAATACTTCTTAATTAATTATTCTTTTTACGTAAGGTCTTGGTTGAGATAAAGAAGTCAGTGTCACGAGCGGGATTCGAACCCACGGCCTTGCAGGTTGAGATGGAGAGTTAATGTCCGATAGGATCGAAGCTCAAGTAGCAATAACGATAGCAGCGGCGTATTTAGCCGAAGGTCGTGGGTTCGAATCCCGCTCGTGACACTGAATTTTTTATCTCAACCAAGACCTTACGTAAAAAGAATAATTAATTGAAAGAAGTAACTCGGTCAATTGACCAATAAAACGTGGACATATAAATACTATTCAATTCTTTTATTCAATCATGAGATATAATACAAAGTAACGAATCTTTTGGGGTTATCATTGCTCATTCTATTGGTGGAATCAAATTTACCGAAGGGTTAATATTTTATGAGATTTCGGGGGTTTTATGGAATCAAATGAAGTTTTAGTTCAAACCGACAGGTTGGATCACCCCCTTGACTTATTGACGTCTGCTCAGTAAACGCCCTGTTCAAAAATCGCTTTATAAGAACATGCTTAGGAGGCTTAAATGTTTATCGATATGTCAGAACGACGATTACACTTATTTTCTTATACCGCTATCTGGTAACTAACCCATCAAATTTTATGAAACTTGACACGAAAATCGGTCATGTCTTAATATCCTTCCAACATTCCATCGAATTGGTCCACAATTTGAATAAACCTTCATTAGGTAATATTTTCTCCTTTAATTAAAAAAAAATATAAATATATAATTGAACTTACAAAATGCATTGTCCTGGCCCAGGACGACGTTCGAAGCGATCAAAAATGCCAAGCATGCCAACAATGCCGCTTCCGTCATAATGAAGTGTGGATTACAACAATGCCGCCTCTGGAAAAAGTAAAAAGGAAAAGGAAAAAACAAATAAAGGGGCTTTAAAAGAAAAAGCCAACTCGAGTCGGTGATGGACTTTCTTTTTAATAACACCCCACAGCTTTTTCTCCAATTACTACGCTCTTTCCATAGTAAACATTGTTTGAATGTGTTTAGAACGTTTACCTACATTTGAAAACAATTAGGGAAAAACTTTAACTTATTCAACCGTTTAATGAAAGTGTAAGATGCAACGAGAACATAAAAGAAAAACATGCATAACAAAGAAGAAGAGAAACAAACGAAAAGGATGCAGGACTGAAGAGAAATGGAGAATCGGGAGACAAGACGGGCAATATTGATCCGAGGTCAATGTAATTCAATTAATCACATTAGATAACATAGAATAGCAAACTCATATGCAAATGCCAACATTGATCTATTTACTCAAGAAATGTTGCTGAATTAAACAAAAATAGTCACCCATATTTCTTATGACAATATAAATTTACTCCATAACTTATGATGCGACTCTAAACTTTATTAAACCTAAGTTTTAAAATACTTTCCCAAAGATCATGGCGTTCAAGTATTAACTCAAATTTAATATTCGAATTTACCGTGTAATTCTTACCAAGAGGATTATTTTAAATCCCTTTTTAATCAACATACGTCCTTTAGATGTATACCGCCTTTAGAAATGTTTTAAAAAAGTTCATTAGATTTCGTGGCCTGATTGACCAAATAACATCTTTCAATTAATTAATCTTAATTATTGGTTAAGATAAAAAAGACAGTCTGACGAGAGGGATTCGAACCCACGATCTTCGGCTAAATACGCCGCTGCTCTACCACTTGAGCTATCCTGACTTGTGACTGAAGTTCTTTTATCAGACGTCACGAAAGCTCAAGTGATAGAGGAGCGGCGTATTTAGCCGAAGGTCGTGGGTTCGAATCCCGCTCGTGACGCTGACTTTTTTCTCAATTAATTAATTAGTTAAAATAAAGATTAATTTGTTTTTCTGGTATTTTCATTTTTTCAAAATGATATTACCCTTATCTGTCACGATTTATTTTGACGTTCTTCGAGTTCTGTCGTTAAAATGCGAACATTGAAATTTTTCTATCAGTGGTTTTGATAAAATGTTAACTGAGTATTTAATTTAATGACTAAATATCTTCTACATTAAAATTTTGTTTTCTATGAAACTTTACTTCTGTATTCGTTTTTATATTTTAATATGTTTTTAGTAAAATTTGTCAGAAAAAAGTTTGTAAAAAGTACAAAATGTTGCATGAATCTGCCTAATTTGAAAGAAAATTAAACATGTTTATGTTTTATGAGTAAGCAAAAAAATTATATTATTTTTGGAAATTTTTGAATATGATCGACTGACTTTTTAATCTCAATTAATTAATTAGTTAAAATAAAGATTTTGTTTTTCTGGTATCATTATTATTTTCATTTTTTCAAAATGATATTACTCTTATCTGTCAAGATTTATTCGTGAAAACACTATTTTTTAAAGTGTGATCAAAGATCACGAGGATAAAGTTTACTTTATTTACGTTTCATAATAAAACTATATTTAATTCGTTTATTTGCCTGTTATTAAGTTGTAGTTTATATCGGACTTCATCGGACTTCCTGGACCTGCAAGGAGCAAAACCTGTTTTCACCACTCATCTCCGTCATTAATCATTTTTATTTTTAACGATTGAAACCGACATACAAAGGAAAGTGTTTCCTTGTAATGACTAGCAGGTTTTCTTTTATGTATTAAGCACTATTATGTAATTAAAAACGACACAAATTAATCTCAAAAAATTAATTTTAATGGATTGATTTGTATGTATAAGCGAAAATCTGAAAATACACGTACCTCCTTGAACTAATAGAACTTGTAATATAAAATGAAAATTACCTACTTCAGTTTATGTCAGTCATAAACTAGGTCATTTCAGCCTTCAACGCATGCAGGTTATAAAACTAAATTCATGGGTATTTCGAATCTCACACTATACATTCACACTAATATATAAAATCACTCTCAGTTCACAAAATCGTAAACACGACACAAGAGATATCTATTAAGTGCTATACAGGGTGTCCTTTTTAGATGGCCCGGCTAAATTCCTCTCGAAGCAATGAAACAAAAAATACTTGTCTGAAATATTTTAGTCTAATTATAAATTTTTACCTTTTTTGGAAAAAATTACACTGGATACCTCAGGCCCAGTTCAACTTCAAAATTTCAAATACGACCCTACATTCGGACACATCGTTTTAAAGCGTTTTTTACGCTGAAAACGGTGGTGCAATCAAAATTGGTCACAAAATGACAATGATATCAGTCATTTGGTTTGCTAATAATTAATAACATTTCATGTTCGAACAGTAACGTATTTTTTAAAATTCTTTTATGAAAATTCCTGTATGTATAATATATAAATATTATAGTATAGTATAATATAGTATAATAGTAATATAATATAGTAATTATATAGTAATAATAGTATAATATATAGCATAATATATGATATATAAATATTATAGTATATATAATATATAATATATTAGGAGTACTACCAGTGGGTAGTTTCTCCATTCTTGTTTACTTATTTACTTATTCATACACCATTACTACCAAAATGAAGGTAGTCGTAATATACAATAAAAGCAATAAAAAAACCGGTAATCAAAGATCAGGTTTATTGATTATGTTAACATTGGAGCGTTACATTCTTACCAAAACTAACAGTTAAATATAGTTTGGAAGTTTTGTATGTTAATCATCTCACAAATTGACTAGTCTTTACACAAAAAAGGCAATTCAAAATAAACTGCTTCTCGCAGGATTTTCAGTGTATTCAGCCGAAAGTCGTGGGTTCGAATCCCGCTCGTGACCCTAACTTTTTCATTTCAACCAAGACCTTAGATTAAAAAACATAAATAAATGTTTAATTAAACTATAGCCAAAGTTTAACTTTATTAAGCGTAATTTAGAAGAATGTAAGACGTCAATGACGTAAATTGAATTCCCGTCAAAAAATAAGTTTGGTAAGTACCCAAGTTACACTAACTTTATACCTGTTCTGGGTTTTATTTTTCGTTTTTCTTTTATGGGCTAAGTCATTGCCCCTGACATTCTTCATGACAACGTTCTAAACCTGTTCAAAGCGTTGAGAGACGGGGCTTGAGGCGCTCGAGCCGCGGACAATCGATCCCAGTTACTTACGGGAATTGAAAACGGAAAGTACTTTCGCTAACATCCTTCCCGTTCGCGTTTATCACAGGTGGATTCATCCGGTGCGGTGCTTTATGACATATCCGGCTATCTGTGCTAACAGGAGAATGAGAAAAAGCTGTAAATATGAGGGGTAGCCGAGTAAAAAATACCGAATGTACTGACAATGAGACATTTTCTGTCATGACAGTCATAACCGCAAATTAAAAGACATCTTTAGCCCACACTGAAAAATTTATATAAATAACTGCCCGCTGAAGTAATATAATTCAGAAAAATAACAACTTAACAACAAATAAAAAAGTAATAACGAAAATAATATATAAATGAAAATATAACTGTCATTCCATCAGGTTATTTCGGAATTAGACACTGCCTAGTATAGGCAAGTAAGTATTGACAAAAATTCACCGAAAAGAGTTGAATAAAAATGAACGGAGTCAGAGGTGGAAGAGGAAAGAAATAAACCTGAAAAGGGCGAAACACGTGTAAGTTGATGGAAAACGTCAAAAACAGGCCGAGACCCGAGAGGCATTCTTACAATACGAAACGGATCGATCAAAGACCAATGGGCAGAAAAACTAATTTCACTAGTAAAAGTTTTACCTTACCTTGGTTTATGTTTATGCTCTTTTTCAACACAAAGAAATAGTTTTGGAATGAAATTTACATTTACGTTTATCTTTAGCCTCTAAAGTAAATTTGTTATTGGTTTGTAATCTGAGAAATTGTATATTTCCAATTTTTGTTATTTTTTTAAAGAAATAAGTGGGATTAAAAAGGTGAAATTTAGACATTGCATTTTACGTTAGTTTCGTGAGAGTTTTTTTGATTCGTAAAATTGACAATATATTCTTCTACATTCCCACAAGGTTTCGTAAGGGGAGTTTATTCTAAATAACACATTTACGAGGTTTTTGTTCGTTTTTAATATCACAAATGAGGTTGATGGGTTTTGGTGAAAAGTTAGTAAAATAGCCATGCGCATCTATATATTTTATAGGAAAAAAATCATTCAAATTTTATTCAATAATTGTTCCTACTCAGTGAAACAGTTTTGTAGTTCCGATTTTAGAGCTTCTCTCTCTCACACTCTCTTTCTTTCTTTTTTTCTGTATTATTCTCTCTGTCTCTGTCTCTGTCTGTCTGTCTGTCTGTCTGTCTCTCTCTCTCTCTCTCTCTCTCTCTCTCTCTCTCTCTCTCTATCTATCTATTTAACTATGATACTACGTATCTCGTAATTATCCGTTTTCTTCTCATTACACCTAGTTTTGTTTTTTTCACCTGCTTTTGCGCAGACGCCGGTCAACCTTTCTCTCTCTCTCTCTCTCTCTCTCTCTCTCTCTCTCTCTCTCTCTCTCTCTCTCGACTCCCGCTTTCTTTCTGACTTTATCTCTCTTTTATCTCTCTCTTTACCTCTTTCTTTGTCATTATCTATCCCTCTCCCTTTCTTATTCTCACTCTTTCTTTATAACTCTCTCTCTCAATCTCTCTCTCTCTCTCTCTTCCACTCGTTCTCTCTCACCCTCTCTTATTCGCACTTTTATCACACAAACACTGGCGAATCTCTCTTTCTTTTTCTGACTTTCTCTCTCTTTTCCTCTTTCCTCTCTCTCTCTCTCCCTCTCTTACTCTCACTCTTACTCTTTCTGTCTTTCTCTAAAACTCTCTCTCTCCATTTCTCTTTTTCTCTCTCTCCCTCACTCTTTCTCTCACTCATTCGCTACTTCTATCACACAAACACAGGCGAATCTCTCTCTCTTTCCATCTTTCTTCTCTCTTTCTCCCTCTCATACTCTCACTCTTACTCTTTCTGTCTTTATCTAAAACTCTCTCTCTATTTCTCTTGTTCTCTCTCTCCCTCATTCGCTCCTTCTATCACACAAACAAAGGCGAATCTCTCTTTCTTTTTCTGACTTTCTCTCTCTTTCCCTCTTTCTACTCTCTCTCTCTCTACCTCTGTCTATCTATCTATCTATCTATCTGTCTTTCTGTCTGTCTACCTCGTAATTAGTCGTCTCATTTTCATTATGTCTTGGTTCCTTTTCTTTTTATCCTTTTTTTCCCGTAGACATACGACAATCTTTCTCTCCCCCTCTCTCTTATCTCAAATAGTAGTAGTTATTCACAAGAACAGAGCGGTTGATTAGGTTCATTGATCGTACAATTTTCTACTGACCTATGAATTTCGTTTTAACACACAAGATTAATGTTTTGTACTAAAACAGAACGGGAGGAACCGTCAGGACGTCGATTCAAAAAATATAGAAATGAAATAAAAAAATCTAAAAAGACGGGAAAAGTATAGAATCATGAATGACCCAAAACTTACGAACTAATAACAAGAAAACTAAAAAGAATAAAAGTAAAATAGGAATCAGAAGTGACACTGCAAGTAAACGAATGTGCATAAAAACAAACATTATAGAAACAAAAAATAATGAAAACTATGAAAAAGATAAAATAAAATAGATTTTGGGTGGTTTGTTTGAAGTGAACTTGACAGCGTTCGAATACATCCATGACCCTCAGGTGCGCATAACCCTTCTTTTATGTTTACTAAAATGTTCCTGTTGTTTTTTTAAATTATATATAGCATCAAATATTTTCGAACTATGCATAGTAAGACTATATTTTTATTATTTTAAATCAGCTTATTTTTTTCATTTTGAGGGTTGTATCCTTGCGTAAACTTGTGACGTCTATCTCAAAAAATAAACTACTGGAAATATTATCGTTAGAAAATTAAAAGTATCGAGAGAAATTAAACTATAAAGACAATACCTCTGAACCGTTGGGCCGGAGAGATGAATGGCCAGAAGTCGTCGATGGACTGACAATCCCTTCGAACCCATCATCACGTTGACGTCATAGTTGAACCGTTCTTTGACTCACTTTTCAAGCCGGTTCCTCGAGATAGGACACGCCTTCAGCCGATATTTACTTTTTGTTTGATGCTTGTAACTTTGGAAAACTCCATCATGAGCTACTTCGTATCAAACCTGGCGTAACAATGTTTCAAAAATCAATATAACCAGGTCCAAAAACGTGATTGAATTTAACGTAAAAATACTTTTTATATTTGGGCATTTTAAAATGACGAAAAGTCACCAATTTATCATTCAGCAGAATCATTAACAGCCGTAAATATATAATGAAAATTGTTTAATGCTTATTTAAGAAAGAACCAACTGAAGCACTTTTCATAGATCTGTCGATCAATTGGGTTGGTCCATAATCTCTTTGATATAAGAAATGAACTTACAAACTTAGTACAACAAAGTAATGAACTTCGAACTTAAACTGTCTATAACTTATAGAAATCTACCAAAGAATTTCAATAAAAAGTAGTTTCAATTAATTAGTTTGTAGAGGGATTTCGTTCGAAATAGCTAGGAGTATGCGCGCGTGTATTATTTATTTATGTATGTGACTATATCACATAACAGCTGCTGAAAGACTCCGGAATATTTGTTATTTGGACAAATTGACTTACAAAGAGCTTGACTAAACTGAAATTCCTACCAGAATATATAAAAAACCTTTGCTATCCATCTTTTTATTTGGTGCCGCTCATGGTAGAAGGAACGAGATCTGATGAGAAAATAAATAATAGATTAAAATAAAGTTTGAATGAATAATTTGTATTCATGCACTTGAATTTCGCACACATCAGAGTGCTTGCCATTTTATAAATTTGGACACTTTTGATTAAGAGGACGGCCGCAGCTCTCTAGGGGCGGCCTTTTCCTCTTACGTTCCCATTAAAACGTGTGTCTCCCAAGGGAGCGTCCTAGGGCCCTTCATATTCAGATTATTAATGAGTTCTACCAAACACGATTAAATGCTTTTTGCCGACCGCACAGCTTTGTCTTCTCATTTAATCCTTATGCTTCCCCAGATAGTGATAATATCCATCTCTAAGTTAACGTCCAAAACTTTTGATTTGACAAATGGAAGATAAAAATAAAACCAACCTCCTCACGCCACTTTTACTCTTCGTACATTTCTCCGTTGTCATTCTGTTTGTCTAAATGCGAAAACTATTTCGGCCTCCGTGATTGTCCGCTATTTTCAGATCTCTCTCACTCTCTCTCTCCCTCTCTCTCTCTCTCTCTCTCTCTCTTTCTCCCTCTCCCTCTCCGTCACACCTTTCCTCTCACTCACTTTTGACTTTTCTTTGTCTTTCTCTTTTCCTACAATTAATTTCTTTATTGAGAAATCGTGAGATGACGTCGGGTCTGATGTAGGTTTCAGAAAAACATTTTCTTTATCGTGCCAACGTTTCGATCTTTATTGAAATCATCTTCATTGTTTATATTTAACAAATACATGTAGGATGTGGAAAAAATTAATTTATACAATGCAAAATATATTTTTTAATATTCAATTAAAGTATTTCTACTCACTCAAAGTGATTGAACATAAATTGATTGAATATAAAAAAAATAATATATATATATATATATATATATATATATGAATGAATGAATGAATAATAGTATTTATTTACATGGAATACAACAAACTCAAAATATGTTACAAAATACTTTACGGCATGGACAACAGTCCGTCAGCCGGAGTTGATGTGAGCAAACACAGAATAATAATAATAATAAAAATACATGAAATAATTATATTAAATTAATCTATGAACATACTACAAAATACTGCGATTAAATTTAAAAAAAAATAAATGAATAAATCAAAAATAATAAAAATAAATCAATACTAGAGAAGAAAATCGAAGAAATAGTAATAATAAAAGCTAACAAAATAAAGAGATATTGTAAAACATTAATAATTAAAGTTTTGGACTAGCTCGAATCTGTCAGTCCAAGCATGGCGAGCAAATCTGATGAGAGGACGACACACTCGGCCATCATTTAACATTGCTATGAGTGCGGGTCTGGTCAGCCTCGCGAGGCCAACGTGCAGGTCGCGAATCTCTGCCAGAATCGAACTTTCGGCGACAAAATGAAATGTGTTTTCCACCGCTCTGGAATTACATAGAGGGCACAATTCAACTACTTTTTCCATCCATGGAGTGTAATTTAAGAATAGCAACTCGCACCTCAATTTAAATAGCCAGCGGAGCTCTCTAAGCGATAGACAACACGACCGGTCCGCAATCAGGCTGCATATGCCAGCACAATGATCAAGTTCCGGATATAATGTAAAACGGGACGGGACTACAGCTTTTTTCTGAAGCTCCTCATGGTGTGAAGATTTCATTTTACTCAGTAAGGTGGCCAACTGGCCTCTCCATAATGTCTTCATGTCTTCCACAGTCAATTCACAATCATATCTCTGAGCCAGATCAATCCAATTCCTAAACCAGAAAGTTTTGGCTTTTATTATTTCCAAGGCAGTTATGGATGACTCCATTTATTTCTCTGGATGTACTTTATATATCATGTGGTTTATAGAGATGTATCATTGTTGTATATCAACCATCAGATGTGATGGCTGACCCATAATAAAGAAAACATCCAAATAAACTACTAACATGGAATCATGTTACTCGACTGCAAGAACAGGAAACTAACCGACCGAACCTAATTAGGTTACCTTAACCATACATCTAATTGGCACCTAACTCACTATCAAACTCATCATTTACAACGTTTTGGAAATTTTGTTTATTTAAAAACCATCTAACTATATTCATCATGTAAACACGTTTTATCAATATATAGTTAAAAATTTCTTGAGATTATATTTTCTTTACAATATGGGCCATCAAAACGAGCGATAAAAAACATAATTATTACCTCACACTATTTATAATCATATGTCAGTAGAGCCGATTTTCAACGGACTTGCTTTACTATGCTCACCTGCGTTTTTAAGACTACTTGTAGACTGATTGTAATGGAACATCACTGCCGAGTCTTATCCACGCGGTTTGATCTGTATCGGATATAGTCTTTTCACCTTGAGGCCCCCATCAATCACCCCAAGTACCCAATCATCCATCATTCCTGACAGTCGTTTTACCCTGATAGCGCTAAATATTTTCCAAATAAAAAATGACAAAATCAGGAGTAAATTTTTTAAAAACTATTAAATGTTTGTTCTGAATTTTATTTAATCTATAAATCTGTTTTGTACTTCTTTTACTGCTATCTGCTACCTCTTTGCTATTCAAATTTTCATTTTAATAAGGATTGTAACAAAAACAGATCTCTCTCTCTCTCTCTCTTTCTCTTTTTTCTGACTTTCACACCCTCTCACTCTCTCTCTCTCTCTCTCTCTCTCTCTCTCTCTCTCTCTCTCTCTCTCTCTCTCTCTCTCTCTCTACCTACCTACCTATCTATCGATCTAACTATCTATCTAATCCTTTTTAAAAAGATAGTTCCTACTCACAGTAAGTTGTTTTGCAACAATCCGAATCTCNCTCTCTCTCTCTCTCTCTCTCTCTCTCTCTCTCTCTCTCTCTCTCTCTCTCTCTCTCTCTCTCTCTCCCTCTCCATTTATATCAATCCATTTATATCATTCACCTATCAATTTTAGTTTACAAAAAGGGTCAGTAAACTATTGACATAATATTTTGTACTTTACATATTTATATTTTTATTGGAATTCTGTACATTGTATAATTCAAAATTAAGCAATATATTACAATAGTAAAAAGGTAAAGCTCGTATTTTTAAAAATAATTTATAGACATATCCATATACAAATTATATCACAAATTATGTTTACATGTTGAATAAGAATCGAATTACGACTTTGCCTTATTATAAGAAAATGTAAACTCTTTTATAAAGGTATTCCTTCGGTTTTTGAGCGCTTCTTATTTATTTTTATAATTTTTATGACAGTATCAACGAAGTGCTCCTAATTTTTTATTAATTATTATTTTATACCTACATCAATATTTTATTTTATTCTAATTAATTATTTTTTCTTTTTAATCATAACTCTTGCACACTTTATGGAAGTTCCCTCAACTGTGGTTTTGTGGCATATTACTGGAGGATAACAAATTAAATAATAATAAATATTATCTTTCTATTTGGTCAAATCAACATTTTACTTATAATACTGTTTTTTTTAAATGTTTATCAAAACAGTTTTGTCTTTGAAAAGAACTTTTAAATAAATTTGAATACATTCAGGTGATCTTATAATACATAAGATATTTTAGGTGTGCAAGAATATCAGCAAGTAACATTTTCTAACCGGTATTTGTAATGGAGAAAAATGCTTTTTTGAATCTTAAAACAAAAACTTATAAATAAATAATATAAGCTAAGAGGGTGCACTTTCCGGGCGAAAGGTCGTGACAAGATAAGGTTTTCTTTTCACCAAAATGTCACAGAAGGGTTATAAATAAACATTTCCAAGGGGGAAAGGACTTGAACATCAGTGTAGAAAACTTCAACGGGAACGTTGCTCAAAAGTTGGTTTGACACTCTTTTGAAAACGGCCGCTAGCTTCATCTTCAACTGGGGCATCATGATCCTGAGGATCTCTTGACCGTTTTCTCTCAGGAATAGATTCGTTGCTTCGGCTGTAACAAGGAAAATATAAATAATTCTGGAGAAAAAAAAGTGAAATCCACGAATGGCTTACTCAGTATCCTATTGTTGTTGAAAATTTTTCTCACAGCCATTCGGGCGTCTTTAATTGAAAGGTCGACGTCTAATTTCTCAACGTGTAAGTAGTCTTTTCCGTCCTTTGTCATGTGACTAGTTGTGCCCTTGACCGTCGCAATAATGTCACCTAAAAGCAGACAAATATTAATTTAGAAAACGACTGATGAACCGATAGCCCAAAACATGCAAGCATTGTGACAGTTCACATTCAAGTATAGGCACAATTGAAGAAAAATGAATGACCATGATCAAATATTACGTGGTAAAGCCAAAAATAGCTCAATAATCAAATAATTACAAACCCTTAATAACTAAATTTATGAATATTTGTAATACTAGTACTTTCTAATTCACAATATTAGTTGGATTCATAGAAAATTCATTAGCTTATTATTCATTTATTATGTTATAGGGTTTATTACAGTTATTTTCAATTGAGCGCCACTTGATATGAATTACATAATATAATATAATTATTTTTCTTATAATACACACACGCACATACACACTTCCCCTCTCTCTCTCCCTCTCACTCTCTCTTTCTCTCTCTCTCTCTCTCTCCCTCTCTATCTATCTATCTACCTACCTACCTATCTATCGATCTAACTATCTATCTAATCCTTTTTAAAAAGATAGTTCCTACTCACAGTAAGTTGCAACCTGATGATGCGCTAAAGGGCTCGAAATGCGTATCGTTGAAAAACAACTTACTGTGAGTAGGAACTATCTTTTTAAAAAGGATTGAACACCACACTCACTCCATCATTTATCATTTCTATATCTATCTATCTGTCTGTCTACCTCGAAATTAATCGTCTCATTTTCATTTTGTCTTTTTATCCTATTATCCCGCAGATTGAATCCCTTAGGCCAATCTCTCTCTCTCTCTCTATCTCTCTCTCTCTCTCTCTCTCTCTCTCTCTCTCTCTCTCTCTTTCTTTCTTTATTTCTTTCATTCTTTCTTTCTTTCTTATCTCATATAGTAGTAGTTGTTTACAGAGACAGAAAGGTTGATTAGGTTGATTGATTGTGATATTTTCCACTGACCTATGAATTTCGTTTGTACACATAAAATTAACATTTTTCCTAAAACACAACAGAAGGAACGAGCATGTACGACGTATCCCATTCACTTTAGCTTTTTATTTTTTCTCTTTTCACCCATTCTCTTTATGTCTCACCGTCACCGTCTTTATCTTTTTGATCCTTTGATGCCAAATTAAAATTTGGTTGGGAAGCATGAAAAAGGGCAAATGTTTGAGCTTATCTTCCACTTGGGGGCTTTGCTTCATGAAGGTAAGGCTAAGGAAGGGAATGGGGATTTATTCTCTATTGAGCGCCACTTGATATGAATTATATAATATTATGAAATTATTTTTATTATAACACACACGCGCACATACACACTTCCCCTCTCTTACTCCCTCACTCTCTCTCTCTCTCTCTCTCTCTCTCTCTCTCTCTTAATTTTTTAATTATAATCTTTATTTTTTCCACGTATGTCAACCCAATATTTTATGTGATAAAAATTCGTTAATGTGTAAGACTTGCTGATGATTTAAATATATGTAAAGATATAATAATATAATAGCATAATAAATTTCTTTCATAACATTAGAAATTGCTCAACTTATTAATAAAATAAATAAAATGCCAAAAATAGAAATAATTCTAGATAGAATAAAACTAAAAATTTAAAATTAAAAAAAAACATGTAAAACGTCTTGTGTTTACATTTCATCAAATTTGGATTCGTAGAAACAAATTGATTTCATTAGATAAAAAGCACATTGAAAAATGTATATTGTAAATAAATTGGTAAAATATAAAACTATCAACCTAAAATTACATTTCTAGGAAACATTATAAGACCTTATTTAATGTACTTTTGACAAATTATGTCCAATGTAAATTATAACAACATAATAAGTTTACAAAAAATATTAAAGAGTTATGTAAGATTCATAATCAATCTTAAGTATGAGACAGATTATATGACAAATTTAAAATACAAAATTTTTATAAAATCTACAAAAATATTGAATATCTTCAAAAATTAGTGTTTGTAACTTTAATTTAAAAAACAAAAAAACCAATATTGATAAAAGTACGTCAATTTATAGCTAATTAAATTGTAATGTCAAATAGTTTCCATAATAAAAATATAAGACTTTTTTCTAAAAATATTATATCAAGACATAGAACAAAATCTTATCGAAATTCGTTTATTATAAAAAATTATAGAATTAAAAAATGTAGCAGAATTGTGTAAATTCAAATTAATATACAAAAATTACTTAATGAATAAATATTTATAATTAAAATAAACTTTTGTAAACAAGAATGCACTTAAAAGAGTATTATTAATGTTTAAAAAGTTTTGTCTTTTAGTTCTGTATTTGTCAAACATTAGTATATATGTATATTGTCTTATAATTTATATATGTCGTACAAACTTATTTTTTGTTTTTGTTTAATGTTTTGTTTACTGTTTTATTGTTTCTTATTCAGCAAAGTATTCTCAATGGTTGTATTAATACGTTTTTGTATTTTAGTAGTATATTGTAATACATTGTAATTTATATAGATAAAAATTTACCTATATAAGTAATACCTATCAAAGTATCATTTATTTGTCCATTTTAATTTATATTTTGTTTATTGTTTTATTGATAGGTATGTCCTACAAATTTAACTCACTACAAAAAGAAAAAATATGCATATAAAATTATATTGTCAAATTGTTTGTAAAACAAAATTAAAATTGATTTTTTTCTTCTAAAGACTTGGTTGAAAAGAAAAAGCTAGTGTCACGAGCGGGATTCGAACCCACGACCTTCGTCGGCTCAATACGCCTCTGCTCTAACCACTTGAGCTGTGCACTCTCATCTGTCACGAGAACAATCGTGACTATAACTTTTTCATCTCAACCAAGTCTTTAGATAAAAAGTATAATTAATTCAAATAATTAACTTAGTGACTGATAAACTTATATGGATTATTATAAATTATAATTGTAAACTATTCAATAATTAAGGTTCTTATTTGAGATAAAAAAGTCAGTGTCACGAGCTGGATTCGAACCCACGATCTTCGGCTAGATACGCCGCTAGTCTGCCACTTGAGCTATCGTGACATCGATCCACTCGGACACTAACTTCCCATCTCAACGCCACTTTTTGGATTTTCCCTCCTTTTTGCCATTTTTCAAATGTCGTTTAATCTATTTGATTCTCGGCGACAAAAGAAATGGCCACGGAGAGCTTTATTGAAGCATACTTCATTTTAACTTATTAAATTCACTAGTTTTCGTGGTCCGCTTGACCAATTAATATCATTCAATTAATTAAGGTTTTTAGTTGAGATAAAAAAGTCAGTGTCACGAGCGGGATTCGAACACACGACCTTCATGCCATTAAAAAGTAGCAAAAGGGAGGGAAAATTCAAAAGGTGGGATTGAGATGGGAAGTTAGTGTCCGAGTAGATCGAAGTCACGATAGCTCAAGTGGTAGACTAGCGGCGTATCTAGCGGAAGGTCGTGGGTTCGAATCCCGCTCGTGACACTGACTTTTTTATCTCAGCTGAAAACCTTAATTAATTGAATGATATTAATTGGTCAAGCGGACCACGAAAACTAGTGAATTGTAAACTATGTACATTGTAAAAACCGAAGGCGTCTAAAGCATAATAAATGTATAATTTAATCTGTATAACTCACATTAATGGTAAGAAAGGTCCAAGGGATTGTTAAATAAAACAATCAAGCAATCAATCTCTTTCTCCATATTTCCCCGATACTCTCTCTTCTTCTCTCTCTCTCACATTCTCTCCCCTTCTCTCTCTCTCTCTTTCATTCTCTCTCCTACTCTCTCTCTCTCACTCACTCTCTGTCTTTCTCACTCTCCCTCTTATTATTATTTTCTCACATTACAATTTTATGCCCTCAATTTTTACAATGTTTATCAGTTCTTATTTCCAAATATTGTCTCTTATTGCCTAACAATTAAACAAGATTCACCTAAATTAGCGTTGAAAGTTCCGTTGCCGCTGGCTGGTAAGATGATCAAAACTCCTGAGCTCGTATATCTGGCATTGATGCTCATTTTTGGGATTTTGATTTTGGCCTCGAAAGGTGTCGTAGCACTTCCCAATCTAAAATGGATAAATGTATTGAATATTTATTATCAGAGGAATGCTTGATTTTGTCTAACAATGACCTACAAATGCCTAAAATCGGTCTAAGATATTTCAAATTCATTTATTACTACTTATAATTATTATATTTGTCCATTATGTTCAGTGGTCTAACTGACCAAATTACCTCTTTCACTTACTTGTCTTTTTTTTGTAAGGTCTTGTTGAGATGAAAATGTTAGTGTCACGAGCGGGATTCGAACCCACGAATTTCGGCTGAACACGCCGCTGCTGTAACCACTTGAGCTATCATGACTTCGATCCACTCGGACGCCAACTCTCCATCTCAACCTACTAATATATTATATCTACTACAACCTATTATTATGTTAGAGTGAATATTTAATTTACGAGACATATATTTCGTAGTAGTGAAAGTCAGAAGTTTTGAAAATACCAGGGAATTTGAGAAAAAGACGAGGTTATGAAACCTCAACGAGCAATTCGAACAATTTCTTTCTTGTAAGCTACCATGTCCTTGATGAGCATCATCGTACATTTTATTATTGAAAATTGCCGGTTTCCAGTTTCCCATCCGCCTTGGATGAGAGACAGGAAGGTCTTCCGCCAAACAGGAAAAACACCGTCGTGCCAAGGCTTTTAACCGCGATCCGAAAACAATTTTCAAAATTCGAAATGACATGTACTTACTTGAGTTTGGCAACGGTGAAATTGCTGGATCCGTAAATGTCCATGTCTCTCAGGACGATTTTGTATCCGTTGGGGCCGGAAGTAAGCGCCAGAGAGAGGTCGTCCATTCTAAAAGGCTCGACAGTCGGCATCTGGATCTCTGGGATTCCTGAAATTTTGATTTTACCTTGAGTAACAAATATATTGCCAAAATGATAAAATAATATCTAAAGCTCAATTGACGTGAATATAGCATGGTTCCAACATCAGAAAAAAAGATTTAATTTAAATAAAAAGCGAGAAGGGAAGGAAAAGAACAATTAAAGAGAGGCTGGCGATGATCAGTATAATTTTCCTGTATTGTAACTGTCCCCAATATATAAACATATACATATACATATACATGAAGGTACAAAATTTTTAAAATTATTTATTGAAAAATCATAGCAGAAAATATATTCAAACAATTAATTGTTGTCAGTTGATGTACATGTAAGGAAATTTATAGGGCTGTAGATATCCCTCTTGAGGGTTGAATCATTTTCATCTGCGTTCAAGGATTGATGAAGATTTGTTTTATATTTCATCCAAACGACTGTTCTAAAAGATTGCACAGCTTATTACATCGAACAGCCTTTGCATAAATGATTAGAGGCAATTTCACCCGCATAAAGAACATCCTTATGGCTTGGGGAGGTTTATTAAATTGAAACTTCATCCCCGGGCCGAAAAATGAACGATTACCCTGGGCCATTTTTAAGTTATTGCGAACATTCATATTCAATTTCAACGGACATAAGAAAATGTTATAATTAATAATGAGCTTTACGACAGTAAATTATTTTAGTAGTTAATGAGAATAATTACCTATAGAATGAAGAACTTTGTTCTTTTTACTTAGTTGATGGAACTTTTATAACATCTTTAATTAATTAATTAGCAAGTTAAGAAGAGAGTCATCTTATGACAGTAACTAATTACAGGATTTGTTAAAAGGCTTTGTCAAGAAACTTAATGGAGTTACTGAGAACTAATAATTTTTAAGCATTTATTTCATAATTTTACTTGAACAGTGGGAATATGCATAAAGAGCATGATTAGTTCAGCTGAGAATCTAAATCAGCATGCTGGACAAAAAGGGGAGAATAATCTATTATACCGGGGGAGTAATCCGGGTAAAAAGTTTTCCCGTTTTCATTATCCACCCTCATTGAATCCCACAATAGGCCCACAGTGTAAAATCCCCTTTGACAACAGGGCCTCTCCCCCATTGTCGTGCCGGAAAGGCATGCGAACGGACTTGTCATGCGAATTTCACCATATATATAACGGTATCGAATACTTTGGAATTGATGCATTTGCAAATACCCTTCATTTTCTGGTTAAAAGGATATCGTATGCAGCGAGGGTTGACGGACCAAAACGCACAAGGACCCAAGTCGTGGGTCAATGTAATTATTTTTATTTTAACATGTTTTACCTTATAAGACAATTGACTCAGTGGTGTTTTATCAGTTATTAATCCGAAATAGTTTATTCTTGACGGATTTGATCCGACTTTTTTGCTTTCTGACCGTCGCCTGCTGTTTATATTTATGTAAAATGCATTATGCATTATGCAAAAAGGAGGGAAAATTCGAAAGGTTGGTTAGAGATGGAATGTCAGTGTCCGAGTGGATCGAAGTCACGATAGCTCAAGTGGTAGAGTAGCGGCGTATGTAGCCGAAGATCGTGGGTTCGAATCCCGCTCGTGACACTGACTTTTTTATCTCAACTAATACCATACCTAAAGATTAATTAATTAAAAGATGTTATTTGGTCAATCGGACAACGAAAAGTAATGAATTATGTAAAACAATTACTTTTCATCGTATGGTCAAATCTATTTTAATATATTACAATTAATTGAGGTTTTTGAGTTGAGATAAAAAAGTCAATTGCACGACCGGGATTCGAACCCACGATCTTCGGCTAGATACGCCGCTGCTCTACCACTTAAGCTATCTTGACCTCGATCCACTCGGACACTAACTCCCATCTGAACCCCACCTTTTGAACTTTTCCCTCCTTTTTGCCATTTTTCAAATTTCGTGTAATCGGATTGGATTCTCGACGACAAATGAAATTGCCACGGAGAGGTTTAGTGAAGTATACTTCATTTTAAATCATTAAATTCACTAATTTCGTGGTCCGCTTGACCGTTAATACATTACAATTAATTAAGGTTTTTTAGTTGAGATAACCCATGATCTTCGGCTTGATACGCTGCTGCTCTACCACTTGAGCTATCGTGACTTCGATCCACTCGGACACTAACTTCCCATCTCAACCCCACCTTTTGAATTTTCCTTCCTTTTTTGCCATTTTTCAAATGTCGTATAATCAATTTGATTCTCGGCGACTAATGACTTTTTTATCTCAACTAAAAAACCTTAATTAATTGTAATGTATTAATTGGTCAAGCGGACCACGAAATTAGTGAATTTAACTTTTTTAATATGTTTTAATTTGTTTTACATTTACTCCAATTTATCTTTTGACCCTGTGTTTAGGAAAATTTTAAAATCTGATTCGGATGTTCCCTGGTCGATATTTGCCGCTTTCCTGCATGGCTAAACAAAATCTAATTTTATTTCCATCATTGATGTACCAAACTGCAAAAAAAAGCAGTTAACGCAATGAATATTACAAACGACAAATAATAATTGGATTTTAATCAAACTGCATTCAAACAATAGCAGGAACTCCCGGATATATTTTCCCATATAATAAAACAATTACTGCATTCTTTTATTGTGAAATATTACATTAGGTTGTATTATTCATTTTATTATTGACTAATCGAACAGATCGAACAGTTGTCCACTGAGGTTTAAATACAAAAGTCAACCAAATTTTATTAAAACTTTTTTTTCAAGAAATCATGATTTCCATTCTGTAATGATGTACATAATTTTTATGAAACGTATCATGCAATCATCTTTGATATATGCAACAACATTTCTTACTATTTTGATCAAACTATTGTTATACAGGCTTACACTGAAAAGGGGTATCTACCAATTTTGGATCACCAATTTTAATGAAAAGTGTTTTGGTGATTCTACGTCAAAAATAGCCCTAGGAACTAAAAAATAACTAAAATACTTTTGTTATCCATGCATTATGAATATTACATATCAGCCGATTTGTATTTTTTCTATTTAGAGTAAGAAAATTAACGAAAAGAAAATATTTTAAACATAAATTATGTATCGATCTGCGATATCCATTCTGTGACTAGCTGCTAAGTACAAATTTTGACGTAGTGACCGTCTGATTTTGGAAAGTAGGGTAAACTTTTTTTTTAACAAAGTAGATATTCGTTTTGTGCACCCAAAAAAATCCTAGAATACAAATTTTTGGGATAAGTAAAAAAAACCTTTTATTTTCTCTAACATTTTTCGCTTATGAAATGATTCTTTTCGAAAATCACAAAAATGGTGTTTGCTTTGAAACAAATCCACTGATCTTGAGGAAATATTACAGTGGCATAGAACTCTATAAAGTACACGAAATGGCACAGACATCTTATTAAATAAAGTAGATATAGTAAAATAAAATAAAATGTTTGTACAGTCTTTTTTTTAGTTTAAACTTTATTTGTAGAATTTATATTGTCATGATATCTCACGTTGTTATCATTTTACAAAAGTAGAAAGTCAACATCCAACTTCTTGTAATAACTTTGAATTTTGACTAAGTTATTAATTTTTAAGTGGAACACAAGAAAAATATTTCCTCCACACACAACAAAAATCCAAAAATTTGTATTTTCTATTACTACAAAATTAATATTTAAGGGTTTAAAGGGTGTTAAAACGTCCAAATAAATCCAAAAGCATTTTGCTTTTGTTTCTTTATTTTTTTGTCCCAAAAATAGTTATTAACTTTGAAATGACTCAACCGACCACAACTTACAGAGGTTAAAAACATTATGAACTATACATAATGGAACAAACTTTGTTTTGTAAATAAATTAAAATTGAAAATATAAAATAAAGAGTTTTTACATTGATATTTGAACTACGAGGTTATATTATGTACCTGTATGTAGATGACTATGGTTTTGAAAAAAAGCCCAATTGTAAGTATGTCGGTTCGAATGTAGAGCAGCAGGATTCGAACCCTGAACGTTTACGTTACAGTGAAGAGTATGTCAACGACTTGCGTTAAGTTAGACACGTGTTTAATATTTTTCAATATCACCAAAAAAAATTTCATTGTAATCGGAAATGTCTCCCCTTGTAAGCTCAAATTACCGCAATCGAGTTGTCAAGGAGCTTCAATACTAATCAAGAAAAAGATACACGTTTTCACCCAAATCTGGTCGCATTTGGTTTTTTAGGACGAAATAGAAAAAGTATATTTATCGCTTTATTTCGAAGGTGAGGTCGTTAATCCATCCCGTTTTTTTCACGTATTTATGTCATTGTTTATTGATCATTTGAAAACAATGCCAGACTTGCCTTCTTAAATTGTTTTATTAGCTGAATCTCTAATTTTTTAGCCGTTCGTAAGGAAAAAAGCAAATTTTTAGCAATTAGACGTTAATTTTACATTGGTGATAACTGAAAAATTAAGTACTTTTCCTTACAGTTTATTAGTAGTTGCGATTCTTCTGTAAGCGCCATATTTAAAGAAACAAAAACACATTGAAAGTTTAAACAAGAATTTTGGAAACTTGTACATGTTTATCTTCTAAGTTGTTTTTTTTTTTTTTAACTTAAGGTTGCAATGAAAAAAATGAAACTTTTATTATGAACACTGTCGATAGATGGCCCATGGAGGACCTGACTCGTAGAAGAAGTGTCATCCTCACGCGATTAAGAATAGGCTATGCCAGGTTGACACACGGACTTTACTTTTGGCTCAAAGCCCGCATAGAGCGCGAAGGAATACCAACCGATATGAGAATTGTGCTTGAGCTCTGAGTCCCTTGTTGGAGGAAACAATGTTGTATAGTAATGATAGTTTTGTGTCCTTAGGTTGTGTTGAGAGTGAATGTATTTACTAGCGTGATGTGTAGTGAGAGGTCGATAGTGGAATTTTGACTCCTCCTTCGACCCCCCTCATATTGCTTAGTTATGTAATTAGTGTAAACATGATGGAGGAATATCGAGTAATCCTCCACCTCAAACATTGATTGCTTTGGGTGCTGAAATGACCTACCCTCGATAACCTCAGTGACTGGAAGGATGAGTCCGACGTACGAGCACGACGATATATATACAGTGGCACAACAAAATATTTAAAAGTTAATGAAATTATTGAAAATACCTTTTTCTCGATTCTTATACAGAATAAATAAATTATGTTTAATGTGTGGTGTTTAGTGACCGTTAGTTAATGATTATTTGGAGGTCGTGCGGTGCGGTCTGGTGTGACGTAGGGTTTAGAACACATTCTCTTTATCGTGGCAACGTTTCAATCTTTATTGAGATCATCCTCAGGGCCTGGGATATATAAACATTGTTTCAATTTTACAAATATTTTACATTTGTAAAATTTAAACAATATTTATAAATCCTAGGCTCTGAAGAAGATCTCAATAAAGATCGAAACGTTGCCTGTGCAAACGTGAGGTTATACAAATCAGTAAAAATTACCAGCATAGGATTACATTCAACATTTAATTGATTTATTGGAAGACAATACTACCCAAATTATCAAACAATAATAAAATCCGATGATTATTAATAATGAAATCGTTTGACAGATTTGTCAGAAAATACATAGCAATATTTTTCATTCGAAGGTCTTTCTGTAATATAATTAAGACAGTACATTTTTGCAGAAATTATCAGAAAAACGCTGTCTTTCATTTTAAATTGTATTTTTTTTAAATAACTTGCATTGGAACTTAAATTACATTAAAATATCCAGACTGATTGTTCTTACAATTTACCACTAACGTTGTTATAGCGTTCCAATGATTATGATGATTTGTACTATTATAATCAAATTACGAACAATTATTTTTATTCAAAATTATTCAATACATGATCCGTTTTTTTCCTTCTTTCTTTTTTTAACGAGGGTATTTTCAACTACGAGGTTATTTGAACCCAGAATTTGTCGGGTTGGAATGCAGGGCCGGTGGTTTCGAACCCGGGACCTTTACCTTACAGTGAGCGACTAAACCGTTGCTGCCACCTACGCCCCCCCGATCTGTATTTTAGATCGATTATTTGAAGAAATACAATTCTTACAATTTACATCAAAATTTCAATTCAAAAGTTAATAAACACAAATTAGAACCTAGTTTATTTACCCAATGAAATCATGAATGAACTAGAGGACAAAAGTAGGACCCAGTTGTAATTGCACGTAAAGGAAGTAACTAACTTGCATCGCTTTGAAAATTTTTAATCTGCAAAGATTATCCCACCTCTTTGTAATTTATTATCATAAGGCAGTCTAATCGCAGTGAAAGAACTTGTTTCCTGTTGAAAAACGACGTGGACCTTATTGGAAGGAGTGGACTTCGAAAGTTTGGACAGTTATATTATTTACTGTCAATCCCGGTGATAAAGGGTTATTAAAATATTTCCAATAGAATCAACAACCGGCCGGAATTGAGTCAGTTTCCATTTCGCAGAAGGCAATGACTCCTGTGTTCTTTCCCCCGGAGAAAGTTCCATCGGACGACCAAAACGGAGAAAGTGGATGAGCTCGGAAGATATTACTAATCACCTCGTAACATTACGTCATAACTTTTGAGTCCAACGAAATATAGCTCTTTAAAAATAAATAAATAAAAATGGTGAGATCGAAAAATTTACCTTTGGCCAGGTACGGCCTAATGTGGTGAAGGGCTTTTATGAAGCAGTCTATCAGCTTTGGATCCGTTCCTTTACAGTGTTTCACATAAGGAGCTGTAAAAAGAAAAAAAGAACAGAATGTACTATAAATTATTAATGTACACTTAAAATCACACAATGAAATAAAGAGACGTATCGAAAGATTTAATTTATGCGCGTTGCGAAACTGTGACAACGACGGACTTGGCATCGGGTCATAATTGTTGGAAAATGTTGCAACCCTTTTGTTTTTAACATTGATCGATCTTCTTGCAACAAAAAATCCTCGCAATATACTGCGCTCACATATATGTAAAAGGATATTGCAACACGTATATAAATAATTGTAAGAAATGCCACTTTACGTAAAATATATAAATTATAAATGAAGAAACAATTTAATTATTATAACTTGTGCATAAAATATTGAGTCTCTCTCACTCTCTCTCTCTCTCTCTCTCTCTCTCTCTCTCTCTCTCTCTCTCTCTCTCTCTCTCTCAGAAATGCTTTACTTTAAATTGATAAGAAATAACATTGGAAATAGAGAAATAAAAAATGAATTTTCAGTTAATTAATAAACATTTCTAAATGTTTATAATCAATAAATTAATATTTATATGAAAATCTTAGACGGATGTATTCCAGGCTATTGTTATTGTTGGAGTTTATTATTTTTTCTGCACTGCATCTCTTTACATTAAATAAAACATTATTAATAATGTTATTATTATTATAGATATACAGCATTATGGTTGCTATAAAATCTAAAATCAAAATTAGAAATAGAATCAATAAATTTATTTATCTATAGTGATGAAAAAAAATAAGTATTACAAAAAGCTAGCACAAAACACAATACCCCCCAACTAATAAAATGAATAATAATTCAGTTATAAACAAAAATTGTTTTCTACTCTCTTCTGTTTTCTACTCTCTTCACAACAAAATAGTACATCATAAATTGTTGTTTATGAAAAATAATTTTGGAGTAAAATTAATGAGTTGTTTGTTCAAATGAGTGTCTGTTATTTGAAAAAAAGTAAGTAGTAAAAAAAAAGAAAATAATGAGAAGAGCTAGAAAGATAGCGATATCGGTAAATAAATAGGTAAATAGGTAGCTAGATATATAGAGCGGTAGAGCGAGAGAGCGAGAAAGAGAAAGAGAGAGAGTGAGAAGTAGAACAGCCAGTGTCTTGTTTAAAAGGGGTCAAGATAGAGACACAAAGGTAGAAAAGAAGAGGGAGTTAGACTGAGAGAGAAAGATTTGTCTGTGTCAGTTTAAAAGAAGGTTAGAAAGAGATAACTTAATGAGAGAAAGAAAAAGAGATAGAGAGAGAGAAACAGGCAGACCGATAGACGGGCAAAGAGAGAGTGAGAGTTAAGTTGACCAGTGTCTGTTCAAAAGAGAAAAGAAAGAGAAAAAGGTACAACGGGGAGAGAGAGAGAGAGAGAGAGAGAGAGAGAGAGAGAGAGAGAGAGAGAGAGTGAGAGGGAAGAGAGTTGACAAAGGGAATTGATAGAATGATTCATTATTGAGAGAAAGAATATAAGGAAAGATAAATAAATAAATAATAATTAAACCCTCTATATACACAGTTAAAGGGTGAGAGATAGATAGGTAAATAGATAGATATTTAGATAAGTTGATATATAGAGATAGATAAATAGATAGATAGACAGATAGATGGGTAGATAAATAGAATGAAAGAAAGACAGACAGTGTGAGAACGTGAAAGTTAGAGGGTGAGAAATGATTGATAAGTAAATAAGAATAGAGATAAGTAGCTTTTATAGAAATATCGATATAAAAATAGATAGATAAATAGATAAATAAATAAATTGATACATAGATAGAGTGGGTAGCACATTAGAGAGCAGAGATTCACGAGACCCAAATGTACACAGGGATAAAGATAGAAAAAAGTGAGAGAGAGAGTGAGAAGAAAGAGAAAAGAAAGGTAAGTGCCAAAAAACAATTTTTCACATTTAACCATTAGTTTTTTCCAGTAGTTTGTTTTAAAAAAGCGTTGAAAATGGCCATTTTCGTCATAGAAACCTCGACCCGTTCTCCATAGGAAAACAAGGGTAAATTATATCGTTACAAAATTATACATTTCATCAGCTAATGGGCCCCTGGGTGTTGAAAAAGTACTCGTCTTGTGGGGAACATTGTTAAAAATGACACGTCGCTTTCTCCATTTTTCTGGAGAACAAGACTGGAATTTTTAAAGAAAAAAGGCGACGATGATTTCTTTCCTTTGGTATTTTTCAAAAAACTATCCGTTAGAATTGTTAGTAGAAGAGCGCTTTGTTAAAAAGTATGCTAGAACAACTGGAAAATTCAAGAGTAAAATGTGCTTCTCTAATTATTTTAAATATTTCAAGTGAATTGATGTTTAATGCAGATTATTTAATTGCAAACAGAAATAAAAAATATCCAAAGATCACTACGTTTTCAGATAGCTTACGTTGCAATACATACATAAATTTTATTTTTCTCAAATTCCTTTTTTAAAACAAAATTGGAGCCCATAACTAGATTATTAATTTTTTCTTGTACATGTTTTTTACACCTTGTCAATAATCATGTAAAAATTGGTCTTTTTGAAAAGATTCGCTGACAATCTTCTCGTAAACTGCATATATTTTAGGATTTGGTTTAACCTTTAATCTGGCAATAAAAAAGCTGTTGAAAAAAAGACAGCAATGAAACAGGGTATGTTTTAAATAAAAACTGCACTGATACACATAAGAAAGGTGTGTCCGCAGTTGCAAACAAAAAGGACAAACGGTTGCAAAATTTCGCAACGTTCCCAATATATCGTCGTTTTCGAGGCCGGTGACCTCATCGAGGTTCCGTCCTTCTGCCGGCGACTTTTTCTGAAAGAAAGTAAGAGTGCTTTCACCGTTCTTACGTGTATCTGCGGCGAGCGCGATGCCTAGGAGGGCGGCTGCGACGAAGATCCTGTTCAGCATGGTGATCCTGCGGGAGATGATGGACAAATGGTGGCCGTGGTGAGGGTTCCTCCCGTATTTACCGCCCCCTTCCAATTTCCATCCCTTGGAAGGGGAAAACCGCAAGGACCTAAGATGGACAAATTAATAATTTTATTGCAACCTGTTAAATATTGGAAGATCCTAGTGCTTATCCTCCCGCCAAGGGAGACAGAACTTAGCACAACCTAGAACACAATTAGGTGACCCATTGGGATGAACTTATTTTGATGGAAGAAAACCACTGATTTTCTTCATCCAAACTTTCAGTTAATGTGATCATTCATTTGTCACCTTATTTTTTCTTTCAATTTTTGTGGTTATTACTTCGCTGCCATATTCATTTCTTTTTCTGTATACTTGCTGTTTCATCAATTTGCTCCTATGACAAATTTTTAATTTGTTTTGGCAATTTAAACATTCTTTAATTTGAAAGTAGTATGTCAGTGCAAACATTTTGAATCTGCTTTTTTAAATTTTTATTTCATTTTTTAAGGTAATTATAAATATGGATCACACTTTTTTTATTTAGTTGAATGTTTTTTTTTGTTTAATCTGCTTTTCCTTTCTTCCTCTATTTGTGGTGGTTGTTACCTTTTTTCCTTAAATTTAGATCTTGGCATCTTAAGTGGTTTAATGACGACTAATTTCTACTTGCTGGCCACTCTTCTGAAATACCGTCGTGCATTTTTCCTGTAATATAATTTTTTTATCTCTTCGATTACCGGCATATTTTAGCTCTGAATGAGAAAGTTTTTAATTTGCAGATGTAGCTTTGTAGTGTTGTAGTGTTGCTACCTTACAAAGACATTACTTTTCTCGTTTACGAATTAAATAGGGAATTAGTGAATAAATTAATGAATACGCTTAAAACAGAAAAGTGTTAGAGAGAAAAAATAAAAAAAGAAAAAAGAGAAAAGATAAATACATACATAGAAAAAGAGAGAGAGAGAGAAATGAAATAGCCAGTGATAGGGAGAAAGTAAGAAAGAGAGAGAAGAGAGAGAGAGAGAGAGCGTGTGGAAGATAGAAACATAAAAAGAGAGAGAGTGAGAGAGGGGAGTTAAACGCATTATTTAATCTAGAGGTTTACCTTACTTATAACCTTCCTTACAACCAACTAGAGAGACAGAGAGAAAGACAAAGAGAAAGAGATAAATAGATAAAGAAAAATATAAATAGATATATAGCAAAAAAGAGAGAAAAATGAAATAGCATGTGCTAGGGAGAAAGTAAGAAAGAGAGAAAAGAGAGAGAGAGCGTGTGTGAGCGATATATACATAAAGACAGAGAGAGGGAGTAGGAGAGAGAGAGAGAGAGAGAGAGGGTGAGAGAGAAACAGAATATGAGAAAGAATAAAGAACCAGACGAAGCCATTCAAAACTGGAAAAATAAATAAAAATACATACACAGACACCATCAAACAAACCAATAAAACAGAGATAGATAAATAGATAGATAGATAGAAAGAGAAAGATAGTTGTATAGGTCATAGATAGATAGATAGATAGAGAGAGAGAGAGAGAGAGAGAGAGAGAGAGAGAAACAAACAAAAAGAGAGAAAATGGGAAAGAAAAAAGGATACTTATCCGAAAAGAACTATTAAATAAACAATAAACGCATACTCAGGTATGATCAAACTAATAAGACAAAAATCACTCTTCGGAGAAAGAGCGAGCGAGCGAGAGAGAGAGAGAGCGATAGTAAGAAATAGATAGAAAAAAAGATAAATGTATACGTATAGAAAAAGGGAGAGAAATGAAATAGCAAGTGATAGGGAGGATTGAGAAAGAGAGAGAAGAGAGAGAGTTGTGAGATATTGATAGATTCATAGAGACAGAAAGAGATTGATTGATTAAACGTTTATTTAACAATGCAAAGTTAGGTTTCCTGGAACTCTCTTCCACTAACGTAAGTTGAACATTGAAAGAGAGAAAGGGAGTGAGACAAAGAGAGAGGGAGTGGGAGAGAGGATGGGTGAGAGGGAGGGAGAGAGGGAGGGAGAGAGGGAGGGAGAGAGAGAGAGAGAGAGTGAATGAGGGAAATAAAAGAAAGATAAACTTGTATCAGAGGGAGAGACAGAAGTAGATAAAAATAAAAAATAAAAATAAATTACAGTAAATCAACTAATAATAGCATGTCTGAATCATAATGCTAATAAACGACAACAACACGATTCTCTCTTATTGTCAGGCTAAAAGAGTGTAAAAGAGGGAGATAAAAAGAAGTAACAGACAAGGATATACAGAGAATATTAGAGAATGGTTGTCAGAAGGTTTGACAAGGAGAAAGAAAAGGAAGTACAGACAGACACAAACAGAAACTTTGTGCTTGTTCATTGGATTTTCTTTACTGACATGAGGACATTTAGTGCCAATAGGTCATCGATCACGATTTCGTATTTTCTGCCTACTTATCTTTTTTTCAGGTTTATTGCTATAAATTGTAGAACGGTACATTTTAAAACAGTAGTGACATATTTGTGCATTAAGATAAATAAGGTTTGTAAGTGTTGGTAGGTGTATACGAAAGTGACAGAGCAAGTTTTCTTCCAACACTCCCTTTGTAAGTACGCCTCTCGTTACAAACGGGGAGAAGCTGTAATTTCTAAAGCAAACTGAAGCCAAACCACGAAGCGGTTTGGTGTATTTGCCTTTGTTGTTTTTGCTCGCCTGTGTCAAGGATCAAGCTACTATTGCTTTTTGGGGTCTAAAGTAGCTCCGGACAAGCCGCTGACCTTATGTAATTTATGCCAATGTTAAATTTCAACCCTGCAAAACATTTCTTTGTGTGAAAATGTTGAGCTTGATTGGCTTTAAAAAATACGTTTGTTTATATACAATAGATAGACGAAAAACATGAGAAAAGTTGCTATTCCCATGTGTTCGAAAATCGTAGGAAAGTAGTGTCCATTTATTATCCTTTTGAACATTCACGATTCTGACTGAAATTAGTATATTAAGTTTTTTTATATTTTTTTTAGTAAGGACTTTCTCCCGATTGAAGGACTGGTCGTTCTGAATGGAAAGTGTTCAAAGACAGGATCGAGTAAGTTGTGCTGTCAATGCCCTCAATATCTATAGAAACAATTTTGACCTTTCTTTTTTGAAAATATATATGTTTATTTATTTATAAAAAAAGGTAATTGTTGCTGGAGTTAAACGTAGAAGGTATAAGTCGCGTTAGGTGTATCAATCAATCATTATTTTTCATCTATCCATTCATCTATCTGTGCATAGATCCTATTTTCATCCATCTCTTTCTCTATCCGTGTTTTATTTTGAAGGGTTAAGCACTTTCTCACGCTATCATTTTATTTTCATTTCTCTCACCCTCTCATTTGCAATCTTTCTCTCACTATAATTCTCTCTCTCCCTCTCCCTCTCTCTTTGTCTCACTCCCTTTCTCTCTTTTAATGTACAACTTATGTTAAGTGGAAGAAAGTTCCAGGAAACCTAACTTTGCATTTTTAAATAAACGTTTAATCAATCAATCTCTTTCTGCATCTATGAATCTATCAATCTCTCACAACTCTTCTCTCTCTTTCTCACTCTCTCCCTATCACTTGCCATTTCATTTCTCTTTCTTTTTCTATACGTACACATTTATCTTTTTATCTATATATCTCTTATTATCCGCTCTCTCTCTCTCACTCTCTCTCTCTCTCTCTCTCTCTCTCTCTCTCTCTCTCTCGCTCTTTTTCTGAAGAGTGATTTTTGTCTTATTAGTTCGATCATACCTGAGTGTGCCTTTATTGTTTATTTAATAGTTCTTTTCGGATAAGTTCACATTATCCTTTTTTTCTTTCCAATTTTCTCTTTTTTTGTTTCTTTCATTCTCTCTCTCTCTCTCTCTCTCTCTCTCTCTCTCTCTCACTTCTTCATTCTTTCTCACTCTCTCTATCTATCTATCGATCTATCTATCAATTTATCTATCGATCAATCTAACTATCTATTTCTCTACAAATCTATATTTTTATCTATCTAACTAGCTGTTTATATAATCTATCTATATATTCATATAATTATCTCTTGCCCACACAAACCCATTCACTCAATCATCTACCCATCCACACATACGCGCGCGCACACACGTACACACAAAATTCCAAAAAATAATCCTAACCAACTTCCTATAGGGTAAAAAGAGAGAGAAGAAATATAGTACAACCAATCATACACTAGAAAATAATTCTTGACAAACAGAAAATAAAAAAAGAAAGAATAAATAAAGCATTGACAACTGTGTAAACCGAGAGATTCATATAATGTCGAAACAAATAGCAATAAACAAGCAAGGGCGGGAGCAAAATCTCAAAGAAGTGAAAAAATAAAGGAAGGATTGGATAAAAAGGAACCAATAAACAAAACAAAAGTAAAATCACTGTTAACAGATCAACACTATTAACAAATCAACGAATTAACAAAAGCAGACAACTAAACCAAGAGATGAATAAAGAACTAAGAAATATAAGTACAATCAAAGAAATTTGGTTGACTGTTATGAAGAAAGTTCCAGGAAAATGTAAAATATAGAAAATTGTATACGAGTTAAGAACTTTAAATAACAACAAAACAAGTAGCAAAAAAATGAATAACCAAGCCAGGAAAAACCAGTGCGAAAAATAATAACATATAAGTACAGACCGAGAAACAAGACAGTCAGATATAAGAAAGACACAAGTTACAAAAAATTTACAATGTAATAAAAAATTCACCAAATAACACAACTGACTAATGAACTAAGAAACGGGCAAGAAAACAAAAAAGGAAAAAGGACATGCATTTGTTTTTCTGATTATAAAGCAAAAAACCACCAAAGCCAGCCAGAATATAAATATATTAACCAAGTACTACAAAAATACAAAGTACATACAATCGTTAATCAGTCGTGCTAAAACATAAGAAGTGCAAGTATAATCAAAATAAAATATTAAATATAGTAACGGAAACAATCACCGAATGAAAGATCTCACGCGGACCTGGCATTATTGGATCCGTCTTCACTCGTGAGTTTGTTAACTGCTGAAACGCGTTTCGGCAGTATAGCATACAACTATATTTTAAGACATTCAGAAAGAGCAAGAAAGAA